GAATCCAGGTATGTGCGACGAAGAAGGAAGAAGAAGAGTTTCGAGAGGATGGCGGGGTTTATAAAAAAAAGTTCAAGTGTGCGGTAGGCTAAGCGATAGAATTTGAACGCTAGTCAGTGGGGTATGATCATGTGACTCTCACCAAAAAGCACAATTTTCAGTCATTCACGGCGGTATGACTGGTTCGGTGAATATTGAAAGTGGATTTATTTTAATCTACTAAATTCACTCTTTTCATTTATATCTACTGGATCACTACTGTACGACTAGGTACTGTATCCTAATATTTCATGGAAATCGTAATAAAAAAACAAGCTTGAAAGTCAAATAAAAAAAAGTTCCCAGCAGAAAAAAGAGAAAAAAGATTCAAAAACGGGCCACAAAATGAAGGGTTTGCAACAAGGCAATGAGTAAATGTGGCGATTGGGACCATTGGGCTCCCAGGATGGCTCAGGCTTACAAGTTAGCAGACTATTTCGCTGCTCGAGTACGTTAGGTTTTATCTTGATTATACGAAAACCAATCATTTCCATTCAATTTTGATACTTCATGCATCCGAGTGGAATCAATGAAATCAATGTGGATTATCCAGCGGCAACGATCTTTACAAGCGGTTAGTGAATTCCTATCTTGATAGAATCCTTGACTCAAATTTTCATTCCTTTCCGTATCTTTGGTGGAGGGGCAACCAAATTTAGTGAGGGGCAATCTTGATATCATGCAACTTGATGCAAGAACGGTCTCCATGGCCTCAAGGTTTGTTCTATTTTGATGAAGTGTCACCGTGTTCTCACTACAAGTGGGTTATCGTTGCATCACCTGCATCCATTCACTTGCAAATTTTCATGGTACGTGAGGAGAAGTATGGAATATCAGTGGATCAATGGGAATTGAAACTGAAGATTATGATGTGAGTTTCGAAAAGAAAGAAAAAAGTATTCATCCTCCCCACTTATCGCCAATCAATTTTATATCTTTTGACATTTCCTGCACAACGAGGCTGGTGTCGGATTATTGAATGGAACTACATATTCCATCCTTGACACGGTTATGGATGTTTCATTTGATTTGAGATGAACGGTCTGAATCGCTTTTGGAATTCGAGTATCATCCAAACGCAGTCAAGTCGACGGTAAGCTTATTCGTTCTTCAAAAGTATGCATTGGATGATGCTGCATTATCTCACAGCAAGCTCGAGACAAGATAAAACGAACAAAAAATGCTGGTTGGTGGTGGGGCATGAGTCAAATTACCTACCACTCAACCTCCCCAATTGTTGTCACGATACATTTATGAAAAGAACGGGGGAAGAAAACTCGAGGCTGGAAAGATACCCAGTTTTAGGATGAGCTGAACGACGGCAATTCGATGTTTTGTTAATGGATGAAAACGAACTGAATCCCTCCACGCAACCCTTTTGCTTAGGTGAGCGGGATATTCCTTTTTGCAGATGGGATCAAAGGTGGGAAGCCAATGCCCTTGAAGGCACTCGGCACATAGAGTCTGGTGATGTTTTCCTCGAGGTTCAAATCTTTCGACACGATGACTTCGGAGTAAGTCGACAGGTGAGAGAATCCGAGATTATAGAGATACTCAATATTGGATGAGCAGGCAGAAAACAATTTAACGAATTAACATGTGACTAAGACGAAAATGAAGCTACAACCTTGACACCCGCTGGAGAGGCTCGAAGTACACAACCTTGATAGGTCCGCCCGACGGAGTTCACTATTTCAATACATTTGAGCGGCGTTCAAAATTGTATGTACTTATCACGAATCTGCGAACTCGACATCATGTCTTTGAGCTAGATTGGGTCAATGTAAGTAAATGCGAGACTGCAGATATCCAAATTTCCACAGCGCTCGACAGATGATCTTTCAATGAATAGATCTGGAAACAATCGACACGTGGGAAGGCGCAAGGCGGGGGAATATGCCCAAGTTCGCAGACTACAGTTCAATGATGGATTTCTTATGGGCTGAGCTTTCAATCTCACCCTCGACGGTCCAGACACAATAAATCCGCAACGAGCCATAGGTGAGCTAATTCGAGCTTATGGAGATACCCACCCTTGGTAGGGTCGGCAGATGACAATCCGATGAATCCATTACCATGTCGAGCTTGAGGCTGGCAGTTCATGCAGTATCAGGAAGAGCCGACAGATGAGGCTTTGATAACTTACCTCTTCTAAATCTAGATATTGAGGGTTTGGAGAAACTAATAAGTAGTGGTTAGATATATACCCTATTATGAAAACGAATACGAATCCACGATTTCGAGGCGAATCATCGACAGCTGCGAACACAACTAGGTTTGGAACGAGTTGGCGGCAAAAAACGAGTCCACGTCGAAAGATTCTCGAGTCTCCAGGTGGAAACTACTATTGGCACAAAGCAGAACCCCACGATGCCAACCTGGATTCAAACATACATATATATTCATATCAACAAAATGCAGAATAAGAGAAATTGCACCAGGAAGCATATCCCGCAGCTGAGAGGAATATATTCAACAACGCAGGTGCAATGTAGGTGGCAATAAGGAGAACGAAATTCTCATATGTCGTTGCAAAGGGCCCTGGAAGTGTGTGAATTCCACATCCATAATTCCGAGCACAATCTCAAACACGGCATTAACACATTAGGTTCTTACAACATTACATACGACCGTTGATGAACTCCCCCTTGTCCTCGATCCTATGGACTGCCGAGTCAATATCTAGATTTTTCATATTGGTTTATCAGCTTTTCAGTCTGAATTTGGTGGAAGGGAGGATTATGGCTCTCATAGCTCGTCTTCGGTGAAGCAGCAGCAGCAGCAGCAGGAGTAGCAGCAACAATGGTTGGGATAAAAACCAACGACTCAGAAACAGTCAGTGCCTTGAGATATCAAGTCTGCTAGCTGATACAATACCGTTCAAGTACCTAAGCTAGGTGATTTCTTTACTTCTTTATGCTGGTCTCACCAGTCTTCGCTTTTCAACTTATCGATTCAGCTTTGTCTTCACCCTCCACTCGGCACTTTACTTCTTGATGAACATCCATTTCGTGCCAAATTCGCACCGTTTTTTGCGCTCAAATGTTTTGTTGCATATCTGCTTCAGGGTCTCAAACTTGGGGATCGCTGAGCATTAGGCTTGCGAAGGAGAAGCAGGAAGCACGATTGGGGGGGGGTTTCGCCACGCTCTCATATGTCAGGAATCACAATATGGTGGGTCTAAAAAGGAGTTCTATGGTATATGACCTGGCCTACATAATATCATGTATTGCCATTGTTCAGGGAACTCCTTTGCTGGGGTTTTTTGACTGCCTGAGGAATGGGTTGAACTGCTACAAGTTCCAACGTCGTAATTGACAGAACTGTATACATAGCCATAACAAACCAGCAGTTATATTTACAAGAGGATTACAATACGATCATAATACGGGATTCCAGAGATCCCAGAAGAATATGTAAGACAGAATCAGTAGACAAGTGTACTCTTCCACTGAGTAGGTAATTCAATCGCAATGCTGTTGGAACAAGTATGAATGTTTTCCTTGGTGGCAGAATCCGTCCTGCGCCTCTCAATGCCAGTGTATATGCTTGAGATATTCATCTAAGAGTAGTCTCTTGACAGAACAAGCGCAGAATACAGAGTAAGCAAATCTCCGATGCAATTCGATTTCCAATTCATCAACAGATGGTTTTACCATGGAATGTGTAGAAGCACCCTCGATTCTCTCGTCTCTAGCTAGGTATCTTCACTATTTCTTCCCTTTAACTCTTGCCCCGATCCGAATTATTTCTTTCTGTGAACTTCTCAAATGATTGACTGTTTGTTTTTACCTACCCCACTCTATTCGTTCACTTCTCCATATACCGTCGTGAAAACTAAGCGGAAGTCGCCATGAATCAATCAAATTGGTCTATTAGATTAGACCAAAGCGCCTCCGTAGCGCATCATATCCAAGCTCCGAGAGATCCAGGGACATCACGAATCCGAGTGTGCAGAAATTGTGTTCGTGCTAAAGCCTGACGTTCTCCTGCTGTGGATGGAGAAGGTAGATAGATGTCAAAGATATGAGTTTGTGAACGCCAATCGTGCATCTTCGAGTTTAGTATGAAAAGTAGGTAGTAAATTCCATTTCCACACAACAAAACGCAGCATCTATAATATCCACCTCTCCCAAATCTCCAATATCTTCCATGACCATGAAGACCAACCAATAGAATATCTCTGATCCTGTATCATCGTTACTAAATCTTTATTAATACTTTCATCGCTATCCTTTAGCAGAATATATTGGGTTCTTCGCTCTGAAATCTTCGGATATGATGGGTTGTTTTCTGGCGCTTATCGTTTTATCTCTTTTGGGATTGATTGCTTTGAATGGAGTATGGAGGAGCTAGATGTGTTGAAGTTTTTGGAACGGGCGGAGAAAAGTTTGGCGAGGGTAGAAGAGGAGGCGGGGCTCTGGGGTGGTTGGAGAGGAGGATAAGGTGTATAGTGCTGGGATATGGGAAGTGTGGAGGCTGGGCTGATAAGGGGATTATGGAGAGTATGATTTTTGGATGGGTTTGTTGGATGGTGACTGGTTTACGGATTTGGGATTGTTCGATGTGCGGGATGGACAGGTTCAGTGGGATTCATAGATACAGGGAAGAGATTTTCATTTGCATTTTCAGGTAATGCTCATTGGAAAACTGCAGACAGAGATTTAAAAAGAAGGGGGTTAAATGTTTAGGTCATTATCTTCATTACAGTGACATTATGTCACGAATAAAATATTTCATCTTTTTTTTCTGACAAAAAGTCAAGGTTGGGGTTTGGAGAGTGAATGAGCGAGAGGTTTTATTCTCTGAAGTGAATTTGCATTCTTCATCGTAGGCTTGGATGTATCATTCGCTGCCCTGGGAGGGAGGCTAGGTGGCAGATGTATCTGCATTGAAACGAGACGATGTCACCCCGAGTGTTCTAGAAACCATAGTGGTTTTCGAGGTAGAGCTTGGTTCATTCAGAATCTAATAGAAAATGTCAGCTGGAAACCTCGTGAATTTGGATAGCATAGATGCAGTAGAAGATATACCTTAACGAAGTCAACACCAACGTCGTGTTGGTCATGATGAGAATAACACCCTGAATGATAGTTGTGGACGGGCGATCAGCAAAGCAAGATGGAACTATAAATTTGTGAGTAATTGTCTATCGGTTTTGAATATTGCTAAACTTACCATTACTACCATCTCTCAACCTTCTTTGATATAAAGAGCGTATTTGCTGGTGTTGATCGTGGTAGACTATCCCAGAAATGTCGCTGACAAGCTTCGGCAAGGGAAGACATGCCTTGGAGGAAAGATCAACGCCGACGCACGCCACTGGACTGTCAATAACGGCAATAGTAAAAGTTTGCATGAATGCTCGCTGTGACCATGAGCTGGGTGCCATAGAAGCGGTGTCGGCGTTGCTCAGCACAGAGATGTTGTGTCCTGGTTTTTGTTAGAAAAGGTGCAAATTCATATCATTATATGATAACTCACCATCGTCCCCAGCCTTCCCATAAGAGAGTTATCTGATAGAATATTTTGACGCTTTGGAAGTCGTTTGTTTTTGCGAGAGTACTTGCTGGTGTTGATCGTGGTATGTCGTTCCTTTGACTTGGGACTTCTATGGTGGGGACAACTTGTGCGGTGCTTTCCTGGTCTTTCAATCCGACTTTACTTGCTGGCGTTGATTGCGGTATGAGCTTGTTCTGTAGTATGCTAAGATACGAATGTCAAGAGGTTGACATCGCTATCGATGGCAAATCAGTGATGAACCTTTTCACCTATTCGTGGATCAGTATTGCAATCTTCTAGGCCCACCAGAATCGACGACTCACCTCTGACTTGATCGTTTAAAGCCAGTTAGATGTAGTCAACCTTGAATAGGCAGCAGGTAAGTGTCATTTATAAAGTCTCTTCCAAATACAGAGCACATCCTCTCACAATGAGCCGAGCAACTTTTTCGACTTCACACAAAATCTGGCACAATCCTTCAGACCAATGCGACCATTGAGTGGTAGTGCATCGTTCGCGCGAAGCAATGAATATGCAAATAAAGTTCACATTCAAGATGAAAGGAAGCAACACCATCTCAAGCATAGTCCACGCATTGAGCACCGATAGCAGTAAGAATTAGCAAACAGCAGGTCGTTCATAAGGATCAATAAAACCTACGTGCCACAGTGGACGTATATGCATCACCAACATATGATCACCTGGTTGCATAATCTTCAAGTTGAAGTTTTTGAGAGGGGAGTTTGATATTAGTTCCTGTATGCGATTCTGCTTCCTTCGAATTACTACATTCTTGCTTTCATGACCTAAACTCCTTCTGGCCGTAGAGACACGTTGAAAGTTGTCGAAATATTGCTGATTTCGTGCACAGATTCGAGGTAGGGTACTGTAAGTAGGTGGTCAGCAGCTACTCAAGTTAGCTTTTAATAAGACCAAGGACCGACACTTGTCAAATAAATCTTGTACACGGGCTTAGAAGAAGGATAACTTACACAAAGATCCTGCTGATGTAATATTCGCATTTTGCTTCCAGCTTGATCTTCCATCTTGAAGTAGAAGTTGAATTGAAATGGAACAAGCTTATCGATGCCAATGATGTGACAGAGAAAATGCCCTCAGGGATTACTGCAGATGTTTGTATGTTATGTTATCTAGAATAATGAGCTGAGCGCATGATGAAGAGGGTACCGAATATGTTCACCTGAAACTGCCAATAACTCAAGAATTTGTAATTCGATGGTGGCCTGGTCTGCCGTTAAACCAGCTGCTCCATATGACTACCATAGTCCATACGAAGATGAAGATGATCAGCGCGCGCAAGATCAGAAGAATGTCTAACGCATATTCTGGTGGTTGAATTCTTCGAATTATTGCAATCGACTCCATGTTGAAGATAAGAGGATTCGAAAAGAGCTTTCATGTATAGAAGGTAGATGGACAAAAATGATCCGACCGTATAGGTCGTTCTCTGAATCACGTAAAGGAGAGAGAAACTTGACAATAAAACAAAAAAGGAATTGACAAAAGAACACAAATTTCAGGGTTAGGGCAGGAGGAGAAGAATATTAAAATTTTCGGATTTACCCGAGGCTGAGAGGCATAGCTTGATTCTATTCTACTTGGTGGCTAGCAGTTTTTTTTTCAACTGAGGAGTAGAGAGGCCTGGTTTTGAATTATAGAAATAAATGAGGATGCTCAAACATTAGCTCAAAGAATCCACTGCCACTTGAAAGTGCATGTGCCTCTTTTTTGCCAGGTCAATAAATCAATGAGACCATGTTTCCTAATGCTAGAGAGCTTTTGGCGTATCCAGGTAGTTTGAGACAAATGTGATGGGACGATATTACCTTTAGAAGTCGATAGGAATGAAAATAACCATTACACAAGTAATTCATTATGAGGTGAAATTCGACAATGGCCTTTTCAAGATTAGAATTAGAAGCTGAAGGCTGGAGGAATCAAGGTCAATTGTAACATTAACACCTTTGAGATTCACTTCCAAACAATGGAGAACAGAGAATAGATGAACTTCTGTCTGACCAGTCAATGGGTGGATAAATAAGGTGAGAATAGCCCTCAACCACCCTAGGTCCTCTGATCATATCAAAATGTCAGTCATTTTCCAAATGATAACAGACAAGAGAAGCCTAGGTGAGTATTGGGTTTGCTAATCATCCAGTGGAAGCTGATAGGATAATGTTCATAGGATTCAGTAATATTAGATGAATAAAGCAGAAAAGCAGAAGAACAATTCCTTCTCTAACTTACGATTCCTACCCAGTGACGTCTCATCTTACTCTTGGTGATAATGTATACAGTTGAAAGGCTCTTGACTAGATTCCCAATCACATTGCTAATGTTGAGACAGTTTAATCAAAGTATAGAGATACATTAGTCCATCATCAACTAACTCATTGGTAGATGTCAAACAGATGCCAATAATGTCGACAAGAGAGCCCAAGAGTTACAGTGTGTCTTACAAACTTCAGACCAAACAACAAACTACATACAACAAAGGTCAAGCTATCATTTTGAAAACTATATCTTTGTACTTTTCCTAAAATACAAGTATGATTATCAGTGTTTTGACGTTCTTGAACTTTTCAGTGAGGCAAATGAGCTGTTGAAGCAAGAGCGCTCAATGAAGTTTACCCCTATTTGAGAACATGCATACAACAGCAAACTCAAGAATTCTATGAAACTTAGCTTGACCTTTCTGAGGGGTTAGGATTTTTAAATCTTCTCCTCTAAATAGATCCTCCAACTAATGGGTTCATGTTCATGAAGGGTTCATGCTAGAAATGAACATTCACATGAAAATAAGCTCTTCTCGCTAAATTGTTTTCCCGAGCCCCGACCATACACACGTGATATATTTCTCCACATTCGCTACATCATTGTTGATCCATGTTAACTCTAATGTTTTGGCCAGAACAACTACATAATCTAATTGATAATTGCTTCCTCGAGAGATTTTAAGAAATACTTGTACCTTATCTTGAGGACTCGAGATTTCAATCTCAAATTTTCAACTTTTCGCTCTCTCACCAATCTAAGTTCCATCTCTTTCCAATCAAAGTTCTTCAAACTTGGGCGGGAAGGTACTGTCGGGCATACGAGCTTAGCCAGAAAGTTGGCATTTACCCCCGAAGGACTTGCTCGTTGGCACACAACTCGACACTGTGACTGACGCAGCGGAAATTTGAGCTGGGGATAAAAGGAAAACGTCGACAATGACGGACCCCGTCGAGTCAACGTAAGTAAGAATTATTAAATCTGATTATGCCGCGGGAAGCGCTACCCCCTCTTTCTAGGTCTTGAATCATTTCGAGCGTTATTGTGAACAGTGGCAACCTGCTAATACTTGTATTATTAGTCACAAACGGAGTAAATCATCTGCTCTATCTCTTCTGCGCAGCAGGAGAGAGGGAAAGGATGACGAGAATGTAGAATATCAAGCCCCGATGTCTCCCGCGACCACGGCACACTCACCCACGCTTCCAGCTGCACCATTTCAGCCCACTCTCGGACATTCTTCGAAGAAGTCGACCAGTGCGACAGGACTCATGAGATCAGCTTCTAGTGTTCATCCGCGGACCACGGCTACTTTGTCACCCGACAAGACGATGTCCATCGAGCAGACTGTTCGAAAGTTCAAGATATTTGAGGCATTAAAGAACGGGGATACAGCAGCGATATCAAAGGCAATCCGTGAGTCTGACGGTAGTCGAATGAGCATCTCTAGCTTCGCAACCGTTTCAACCAATTTGGAAGATACCACCATCCTGCACTTAGCTATTCAATGTGCTGAACAACAAGTAATCGAGTATGTGTTATCTGATGGAGCGGGAACAATCGATGTCAATGCGAAGGATCGTGATGGGAACACGGCTCTTCACCTTGCTGCAAGCTTAGGTCGTGGCCCTATTGTACGCTTGCTTCTTGGGCAGCCCGGTATCAACGATTCTTTACCAAATTATGCGGGTCGTTTACCTCTCGACCTTGCTCGAACACCCGATATTTTCCAGCAACTACAGCTCTCTCGTTCAATGTTTGTGGATGGTAAAATAAAGCAAATACATGAACTGGTTGCGCACGGAGACTATAAGACATTGGGCGAAATTTTGGAGGAACCTCGAGTCAAAACAGTCTTGGATATCAATGGTGGAGAATTCACTTCTGACCCAATCACGGTACAAGCTGGTGGCACTTTACTACATGAAGCTTCCAGAAAAAAGAACATTGAACTCATACAAGTGTTGCTGTTACATGGTGCTGATCCGTTCCGTCGCGACCGAAAAGGAAAATTACCGCAAGATTACACAAAAGATGATGCAACCAAAGCTATGTTAAAGAAGTCTCCTGCTGCAGTTGCCGCTCAACGAGGAATTCAGGAGAAAGCTGTTCTCGGGAATGTATCTCAACAAGGAGCAGTCAATGCCAACCCGTCAGATGCACTAGCTGGAAAGGAGGGTCGAGAGATGCAGGGCTATCTTAAAAAGTGGACAAATTATCGCAAAGGTTATCAATTACGTTGGTTTACCTTAGAAGATGGCATCCTAAGTTATTCCAAGCACCAGGACGATGCCGGATCTGCTTGTCGAGGTGCGATTAATATGCGTATCGCAAAACTTAACATGGATCCTACAGAGAAGACCAAGTTCGAAATCATTGGAAAATCATCCGTCAAATACCACCTTAAAGCGAACCATGAAGTTGAAGCTAAAAGGTGGTTTTGGGCGCTGAATAATTCTATCCAATGGACTAAGGATCAGGCTAAGGAAGAGGAAAAACAAGAGGCCAAGAGATTAGAACTGTTACAGCAAGCGAAAGAGCAATCTGGTAGTGGATCCAAGGAAACCTTTGACAGCAACGGTCTCAACGAACCATCTCTTGTCTATACGGAATCACGCCGTGAGAGCATTCAAGGTAGCAGGCTTCTACCACAGACTAGCCTTAGCAGAATCACAAGCCCACGAGTCGCATTTACTAGCATTGCTGGTAGTGTTGGCGATGAAGAAGAAACTAATTATGGATCATACAACCCAAGCTTCATCGGCGACGGAAGTAGAATACCAAGTCACATTGGAACTGGACCTGTTGATGGAGATGATGACGATGAATATGGAGATGGCTCTAGTGAACACGAGATGCCAGCAAGTAAGGATGCTTTTGAAATCACGGCTCAATCTGCTCGACTACAACTCGAACTCATGGGACAAGTCAATGCAGCTTTACAAGTAGAGCAATCCAGAAATCCAAATCTCGTCATCTCTGACCCAGTTGCGAACCAAGCAACCGCGACATATGATTCGGCCATTCGTAATCTCAAAGGTCTTGTTGGCGATCTTTTGAAAATTTCCAAAGATAGAGATGCATATTGGCAACAACGTCTTGATCGGGAAGAGCATATGCGAAGGATGTGGGAAGAAAGTATGGCTCAGGTAGCTCGTGAACAGGATGAATTAATGGCTCGTATGGGCGAATCGGAGGAGAAGAGAAAGATGACAAAACGAGCACTTCGTGAAGTCACTCGATCAGCATCTCGTCCAGCTAGCAGAGGTGAACTAGCAGCAAGAGCTGAGATAGATGAGGCTCTTGATGAGGTTTCTCTCAATGACGACGGGACCGCTCCTCTAAGACATGTATCGACTAGCAAAAGCTCATTACGACAGAAATCGATGGTTGAAGGTATCCCTGATATGTCTGATTCAGACTCAGACGAAGATGACGAATTCTTCGACGCCGTTGATGCCGGTCAAGTCGAAGTAGTCAAAGCTCTACCGCTTTCGAGCCCTGCCGTAGGTGTGACTGAAGAGGCAGAGGAGGGTGAACTTGTAAAAGCTGAGGGGCTAGACATCAGTTCTGCTTTCAAGGGATACGAAAATGGTGTAAGAACTCGTCTAAAGATGGATGCTGATGATCGTCCAAAGATTTCTCTATGGGTATGTATTTGAGCTCATTTCATTCCAACATCACTAATACTTTTCAAGGGTATTCTTAAATCTATGATTGGCAAGGACATGACTAAAATGACACTTCCTGTGTCTTTCAATGAACCGACATCGTTACTGTATCGATGTGGTGAAGATATGGAGTATGCAGATCTTTTAGATATTGCAGCAGATCGAGCAGACTCAATCGAGCGCATGGTATATGTTGCAGCTTTCGCCTCAAGTGAGTATGCATCAACCATTGACAGAGTTGCAAAACCTTTCAATCCCCTTCTTGGCGAAACTTTCGAATATGTTCGTCCTGATAAGAATTATCGCTTCTTCATCGAGCAAGTCAGTCATCATCCACCAGTTGGTGCTGCTTGGGCTGAGTCCCCTAAATGGACCTATTATGGAGAATCAGCTGTCAAGTCTAAGTTTTATGGAAAGTCTTTCGATATCAACCCTCTCGGTACTTGGTTTCTCAAACTTCGTCCTACATCTGGAGGACCAGAAGAGTTGTATACCTGGAAAAAGGTCACATCTTCCGTCGTTGGAATCATCACCGGTAACCCTGTGGTCGACAATTATGGGCCAATGGAAATCAAGAATTGGACAACGGGTGAAATTTGCAATGTCGAATTTAAGGCTCGAGGTTGGAAAGCTTCTAGTGCTTATCATATCGCTGGTAGAGTCAACGATGCAAACGGACAAACCCGTTTCAGTCTTGGTGGTCGATGGAACAGTAAAATTTATGCTCGTTTCACGCCTGGTTATGAGGCAACTGTCGAAGAACCCAAATCCGGTTCTTCTCACCGCAGAGGCAGTGTCAATGACCCAAGCCAAGCATTTTTGGTCTGGGAAGCTAATCCACGCCCAGCTGGCATCCCATTCAACCTGACTCCTTTCGTTCTCACATTCAATGACATCAACGACAACCTTCGCCCTTGGTTGCCACCAACGGATTCTCGATTGAGACCTGATCAGCGTGCCATGGAGGATGGAGAGTACGATTTAGCTGCTACTGAGAAAAATCGCCTTGAAGAGAAGCAACGTGCTAGACGACGTGAACGTGAACAGCTTGGTGAAGCTTTCGCTCCTCAATGGTTCGAGAAATCGAAATGTCCAATCACTGGAGAGGAATACTGGGCTTTTAACGATAAATATTGGAAGGAGCGAGAGAAGGTTTCTACTGGAGAGGCATGGACAGGTGTTGAAGATATTTTTAATGATGTAAAAGAAGAGGAGTGATCATGTTTAGATGAAGAGATAGGGAAGGGTGTAGGATATCTGAATGTAAAGTATAAATCTTCTTTCATAGCTTTTGCTTCTGGCGGGCCAAACTTTTGGCGATGAGCTGGGCGGTTTACCATGAGATGCAAAGATACACAAGAGAACACGTACATAAATACCTAGTAGTTAGCGGGCTATCAGCCAGTCAATTAGTTATTCATAATACATATCACTCAAATCAAGTCAAGAAGTCTTGGCACGTGTGAATATGATGCAAGAGCGGAGAGTTTTATTTATTTGAGCCTGCAGCAGCTCTCGGAAGTCGACCTAGAGTATAATGTTGGCTTTCCATTGACTGGACAGATCTGGGAGATTGATATGCACTTACCAAACAAGTCCAGATGTTGCGCCCTTCGGCAGCTTCATAAAGAGCCTGATTTTCAACACGTCTATTCAAGAACTCCATACTTCGGCTTAAGCAATTGCATAGTAGCAGCAAAGTAGAGCTGGAAGTCTAACATCAAGTATTCATTTAACTGTCATAGTGATCATAGGCTTCGTCTCTCCAACCTACGAGGTTTACTCCTGAAAATCAGTGCGCTTTCATGCTAAAATGCAAAGAGTAGTAACATACTGCAATTTCATATTGTAAATCGATTTCAACCCTGACCCTTGATCTGGAAGTTCCATTGTCTCTACTTTTACAATAGACTTACTATATAACCTACCACTCTATAATCTCCATGCTAAAATGTATGACCTCGATTGTTATGTCCCGAGTCCAGTTTCAACATAACTAATTCAAAAACGTTTGCAATATGATGAATATGGTGTATATGGAGGGAACTGAGCACAATTCCTGATAACAAGTCATATTTTTAAATAGGATCCGTTGTAGATAAGAGTGCTGGGGAGTTTGATTATAAATGCTCATCCTCTTATTCAGTCTAGAGGAGCCAGGTATGACGGCAAGTAGTAAAGGCATGTAGGTTCACAGAAATCCAAGCGCAGATAGGTAGCATATGGTAAACGCAAAATGATGAATATTCGAGCATAGTTTGACAGTTCAGAGATGTGAATATTGAGAGGTATCTGAATCTTCAAAATGAGATAACTATCAGTGTATGACCGACCTGCCATTCTAGAATTGTTCAAAATCAAGATCGTTTTCTTGTCGGGCTGGAAGTCAGAATTATGAAACACGCTGGACAGAAGACTGGGCGTTGAGGGCATCGGAATAAGTATTGTGTCTACACTTACTGGATCATCAGATGTTAGATCGTTCGATACCTGGTTACAATAGACATTCCGAGATTTTCACGTCCGCAGATTGAGTACAAATTCTGATGAATTATATATACTCTTTTAAATCCAAACTAGTGTTAAACGCTTGGATTGCAGAAGCAATCATTGTAATGTATATCTTGCTATCATCTCAAGCTTGAGAACCCACCTCTAATCGACGCTGGCTAATATATGACGCGGAAGGTGGATATACAACAGAGCCAGAGTTTCAAAACCTGCGGGTAACTTTCCCGAAAGTTGATGCAGAATCCCAAAAATAGAGACCTTCAATCGCAGGTTCCCCATCCTTATAATGTCGCACATCATACCCATGAGTATACATCCACGGACCCAGGTCGTGCCGAAAAATAAGGATTCCATCAGCCTGGGACCATCTTCCTGTCAAGCTTGCTAATTCTGAACAACGTCCCGGAACTTTGGTAGGTGGTATAAACCTAACCACAACTTCCGTCATCTTGAAAAATTCTGCGCGTGAAGGTATCACTGCATCATGAGGAAGAATAACATATGTCGGTATCAAGCTTCTATTTCCAGGGGAGTAGTCCGGACTGTTTACATGTATAGCCTCAAATCCGAGCTTATTGTAATTTCGAGTATTCCAGCCTGGTAATCTTTGGAGGAATGGGGGGTGATCGAATTCTGCAGCTCTCATCCAGCCTTGCCGTCGTTGAATATCAGTGCTGGCCCTAAACTCTACGATTCCCATCCGGACGCCTTTGACCTCCTGGGGTTTGTCTAAATCGAGTGGGTCGGAAGCGATGACATTGTGGACAGTATAGTCTAAATAGTGTGTTAGAAGAGAAATTCTGAGCTGCAGTCCCTTGTAACACACCATTTCCACGACCGACCCTTTCAAAGAGACTAGGCATTCTTGCTAGTATAATTGACTCAATATTTACCCTTTATTTGTGTTGTGAGCCCAGCACATATTCAGGGTAAATGGTTGAGAATACCTTTTTAAGTTTGATACTAGTATACAAAATGATGCAGTGTATTTCTGTCAAGTAATTTTAATATCTCATAATGATGTTTGCGAATTTGCTGTGAATAATCGTTGTATTGTCTGTTGAGTAGGTGTGTTGTGTATATAAGACTTTGACTGCTGGCTGGATGTAATATTAACTGGTATATAAGGTAGAATTAAAGGAAAGGGATCGATGCAAGACTTTGGCCATTTCAGTTGGAAGGAACGATGACGGCTACCAAACTAGTTTTCAAGGAGAGGCGGATGAAAGTGCTTTGGATCGCCAATTGAACAAATATTGTTCTTAATGGGAGGAATTTGGAAGCATCATAATCATGAATTATAGGAGTTACGGGTCAAGGCTACAGTTAAACGGCAGTGGAAAAGTCTCTCCATGTCTATTGGATTGATTCGGAGTAGCTGCTAACTAGAATAAGAAATTGTGAAATGCCGTGGAATGGCATACATCATCAAAACAATGAAGTCATTGTCACTGCTCTGTCGGCTCCAAATATCTAGATATCGGAAGATCAGCGGGTCAAAAGTTGTATTGGAGTAATCGACAGAATTTGATAACTTATGCTACGGTGGGGTTTCTTCAAAGTATCCGGTCCACCTAACGGAAAGTGTAGTTCCAATATGACCGAACCTCAAAGTATATCTGACATTTCTGTTTCAGTTTGGAGATGCAGGGAGGTAGTCACCATGGATTTCGTGAAATATAGCTAGAACACATTTTATTTGTGGATTTGGTTCAAGAGGTTCTGTAATAATAATTTCTCAATCTTCAGGTAGCATAAGGCTCGGGATCATTAGCAATAACTAGCAACAAGTTAGATTTGATCAGTAGTAGAGGAGGAGCATGGGGATACCCCTTGTATTCTGGAACAGACTTGCAACAAAAGCCTTCCATACCGAAAGACACGAGAAAATGAACTTTAAGGTTCAATAGTCGAGAGTTTAAGTCCTCTTCCGCATCATAGTCGGACTTAGACTCTGATAGCTCACAATCACCATTATTATATATGTAGATTCGCAACAAAATTCAGGGCGTAAGCCATCGTGAGATTGAGAGCATCAAAATCAATGACGGGAAATTGGTGCAAGCATGAAGCCATGTTCCTGAGACGGCACCTGCTTACATCTGACAAAAAGTATCTGAAATCGACAACATATCAAGCAAGTTCGATCGAACTTACAGCGATAAATTCATGAAAGTTAGAGAGAGCCCCCCCATGGATGGACTCGAATTACTCAAGTCTAAGGAAAGGGTGAATGACAGCCACGACTCAATTTGTATGAGGAAAAAATTGAGAAACTCGCAATAATCGGTGTAATCTCGACCTGTACGCTTTTAGACTTGGTATTTAGACAGCTTATTCCAGCTATGATACTCCAAAGTGCTGTGTATCGTAAAAATCTCGATTGAGGTAATGGTTGATCTCTGATGCAGAGATGTCAAGAAAGGAAGATATTGATGATATAGAATATGATCACGTGACGCGGCAAAAATGTAGCAAGCGGCCGCATAACCGCATCAACCTCAATGTCGACTTATTTTCTAAGCAATCCTCACTCTCTGTGAGCACCCTGTAAAAATGAAGCGCATTAGTCAACTACCGGTAGTGAATGGCTTGAAAGGCCTACGAATCTCTCGTGGCCAAAGCTTAGCTCCATTGAGCCAACGATGCATTCACACAACACAACCTTCGCCCGCAACAGTTGCACCTGCGGCATTCACAGCATCTGGCCCGCCACCAGCCGCGCCAACTCCCAGTGCCGAGCATGTCGATATTCGGGTCGCAAGGAAGAGGAAGCAAGCAGAGCTACTTAAGAAGGGTCAAGATATGAGAGCTGTAGCTAATGGAAAAGGTGGTGGAACTGCGAAACTCAAGAGGTTCTGGAAGGATGTTCATGTACAGGATACGGAAGGTAACATTTGTCAATTCCCTATTTCAATTTAAATAACAAATCCGCTAATCAGTGTTGAGAACGCAGAGGGCTTACAGATATTCCTTGACAAACGAGCTCTTCGAAGACCTTCCAAAGATATCCTCACAGTACCACATCATAAACCACATTTGGCATCTGCTATCGCCCTTGAATGGGATCTCCTTGTGTCTGCACAACAAGCTTTGAAGACTCACCTTATACCGATGACTTCACTCGTGAACCGCGCTCTCGATATCATAGATGAAGAAAACGAGGGGGGAGATTTAATCAGGACTCATATTGTTACAACCGTAATGCGATATCTCGATACTGATTCACTCTTATGTTGGGCACCTGAAGCACCTGAAGATCCACCAGGATATGAAACACATGTTGACAGAGTAGAAAGTCTGCGAAGCATTCAGAGAAAATCTGCGGAGCCTATTATCCAATTCTTGTCCGAGAAGGTATGGCCTGGGGTAGAACTTATTCCAGTTTTAGATACGGACAGTATTGTACCTAAGAGTCAACCTCAAATGACCAAGGATATAATAAGAGGATGGGTATCTGGATTACCTCCCTTCGAGCTTGCAGGATTGGAGAGAGGTGTGTTGGCTGGAAAGAGTTTACTCGGAGCTGCACGATTAGTGGTTGAATGGAGTGCTGAGTTAGCACATTTACGAGATGAAGCTGCCGAGAAGAAATTTGGTGTAGAGGAGGCAGCCAAAGCTGCTAGCTTAGAGGTAGATTGGCAGACCGGGATGTGGGGAGCTGTTGAAGATACACATGATGTTGAGAGGGAAGATATTAGGAGACAATTGGGAAGTGTAGTATTACTTGTATCCGGCGCAAGAAATTAGGCTATGTATACTATGATATCTTCGGAGACTGTATACACTATGTTAATGATGAACGTAAGAGCAGGTAAATGTCTAAAGCCTCAATCTCATACTTACATTGACTGATACAATGCAGAAAAAGATGCACTTTCTCTGATGGCGCCTTTGACGCCCATCAACTCAGCTCCTATCAATAAAGCGTTCATATCCATAACACAAACTTTCAATGGATGTATGTTCGTAATGCATTATCACACTTTCTTGCTTCCGTGCTCATCAAAATACTGAACAATACCATCTTGTGCTCCAGTCTTCTTCATTATTCTATTTCACAGCTGGCTAATCACAACTGCACCCTCCCCCAACAATGCTGCCACAAGACCATCATTTAACCCTTTATCCATAAAATATTTCCAGTACAACTCAACCTCTTGTTTTCATGAGTCGTTCGGCATCGTAAACCTTGATATACTCTTCTAGAATCTTTATCGCCCACTAACTGTGCCTTTAATATCGCTGTAAAACCGGACAGTCTGTTGCCTCTTCCCTCGGATTTCGCTCCCGCCTCTTTGTTTCGTCTTTGCAGTCGTCTTCCATTCATTTTCGACCTCAATAACCCCGAGAGTATTCTAGTAGTAGGGAAAAGATCGGCTCTCTTCTTATTACGCATACCCACTGTGACGCGCTTCTGGCCCTTCAATCCCGTTCGAATGAAATACTAGAGCGCCGCAGCTTTCGTCACAGTCGTCGACCCTCCAACCATAAGACGACGAGCATTATCTGCGAAGAGACCCAGCGTATAAACGACACAGATGTGCTACATAGCAGCAGCCTGCTGTCGATGTTTGAACTTCGGACTATCTTTTTACTCTGAGAACGCAACTCCTCCACCTCAATAATTTCGAATGATCCCGCTTACCTAAAAAATTTGATGGCCAGGATATGTAAACATATGTGATCTTAGATGAAGTCAAACCATTTGTTTTTGCTATGTGGTACGTTTGTTCGTGAGGTGCGACAGGTATATGAATGATATCGAGAACAAGAGCTACCGTATGCTCAGTCTCAATCGTCCGCTGCCCACCAGCATAGAATGGGGCAGGCAATTAAACAATGAACTGATGCTAGATGTATTATTATCAAAGGTTGCTTATTCGGCCTTGATCATTGCACAATAGATAGGAATTCATTTTCAGTAATTCAGAATTTTCATTCTTAAGTATTAACTTCTTGATCTGGAATCTTCACAGTCAAGTATCTTCCTACCACCAGCAATGGCCGCTTTGTAGATAGACGGGAATGCAGCCTTGTTGGCCCAAATGTAGGTAAGTAATATCTCGTCTAACTTTGTGCCTTCTCTTCTCTTCCTTTCTCTGTCAAGCGGATCAACAGCAGAAATATTTTCTGCAATCAATACCATCAAACGAGTCTCCTATAATCGAAGAAAGACACCATCACCATCAAAGCCATCATGCCACCAAAGAAGGCTGTGAAAGCCCCTGCCAAGGACAAAAAGGTCTCTGCTTGCCTTGCCGCTGCCGCTGCCGCTGCCGCTGCCGCCGCTGCCAACAACAGCAACATCATCTCCACCGTCGCCGTCACCACCACTCCTTCCAATGGCCTCTCCAAGCGTGCTCGCGACCGCGAGGCTCGAGGAGTGCCCCACGGGCTCGAAAAGTCTGTAAACAAGCTCACCCAACGTCGTCACCGCGCCAGGATAAAGGTTCAGACCACTCGAGACTGGCAGGATGCAAGTCCGGAGCAGAGAGAGATATTGGAGATCACCGCGGCCAATGAGGTCATGAAGGAGTAAATCGGGTACACGCTTCGATTGGCTGGCTTTGATTTGCAAACTAATGCCGTTACTTGTATAGTGAGCCGAATGCTCATGCTGTGGGTGCCGCCATCGGCATGAAGATGGGCCCGGGATTTGGGGGATGGAAGGAAAAGGGAAGGGGAAAGGGGAAGAAGGTAGCGGAGGAAGGAGGAGACGAAGACGAGAAAGAGGAAGATGTGGGAGCCGGCCCTGACGACGAGCCGGGTATGTGCGAATGTTCAGTATACTATGGAACAATTGTACTAACAAGTATAACTGTTAAGGAACGTCTTCGGGACGGCGACGGCGACGACAAAGATGACCCCAGCGGAGAGTATACGAAACAGTATATGAGCCGCTCCATCCCTCGCCAAGTACGTATCAAACTACCACCTCTACCTGAAAAATCAATAGGTATACAGCTCTCAAAACGAATTCTCAATATAGCGCGTTTAAGCTTTCGTCGTCTTCTCCGATGCTCTGCGTTCTTTGAGTAAGTACGCTAGGCCTCAACTTCCCTAATAGATTTGGACAATAGACCAGATGTACAGAGCAGCGCTAACCTCCAATCTAGAGATTTTTGATCTCCGGCGCCGCCCTGCTCCGCTCTATTTTCTTTGGGTCAGTTTAATACCCCCAGACTACCTCAATCCGTTCGAACAATCAACATGCGTAGAAAGATAAAAGCTGACCACTGATATAGGTAGTTTAGACTGCCGCTGCTGCCTCCGTTCTGTCTGGTTAGTACAATAGCTCCCAGTGGCCCTAGTTGGATCAAACAATAGACCGCGCACTTAGATCTCAAAGCTAGCCTCCCATCTAGGGGTCTCAAGCAGTCGTTAGACTTTGGGCCGCTCTGGGGTCGTCTGGTCAGGATAACGCCCTTCGACAACCCCGACCTACTTGAACAATGGACAGGATACACTGAGCAACGCTAACTTCCCATTTAGCTTGTTTCCTCTGCTGTCGTGCTTTTCGCCGCTCCTTTTGCATTCGGGTAAGTACAATGCCCTTCAGCTACCCTGATCTAGACGGATAATCAAAGCTACCTTTCGAGAAATCAAGCTAACGTGGAGCGGGGAGCATGATTTTTGTGGAAACCCCGCCTCAAAGCCCCACGATAATCAAAAAACAGGTTATATATTCTAAACTTCGTATCTCACTCAACAAACACAACAAAATGTGACCATTCAAGTCTACTTGAAAACACTCTCGGTCGTCTAGTTGGTTTATGACGTCAGACTGTAATTGTACATTGTAATCTGGATGTCGCGTGTTCGACTCACGCCTGAGAGAATCATCTTTTTGCAATTTTTTTGCATCGATATCGATTCAAAGCTTCGCACGCATTTTTGTACTTCTAGATAGTTAAATTTTTGAAAAAAGCGGGGCGGCCCGCTAGGGCCGCCGGATATCAAACAAAGCAAACACAAGCCCGGTTTGTACAATTGGTTGAGCGTGGGTCTTTTAAGCTAGGAGGAAGAGCTACTCACTCTGCTGTCTATAACCTCTCAGGCAGACGAGATCAAAATTAATTTTGTTCACATCATTGTGAGCAGCAACTCCGGCTTCCCCCCTCCTCGGACAGAGGTTTTGGTCTATTGGGGACAAAAGTGTAGCACAAAAATACAGACAAAAAAATTTCTATTGAAGGGAATTGAGCCCAACGGGGGGGTCGAACCCCCAACCTTGTGATTTCAGAAGAACTCATAGATATTGAAACCATAAGAGTCACACGCTCTACCGATTGAGCTAGCCGGGCAGGCTTTGTTATTTTTGTTATTGTGAGAAGCGCTTTCTAGATACTCAAAGCGTTCACGGTCGGAGAGGAAGCTTAGCAAAAGAGGCTAAAAAAATTTGATGATTAGCGGGATATTCTTCAAGAAATTTCCGAGGAACAAAGGAAATTTATGGGGAAGTACCTTCGTACCCATAACCGAACGAACGTACTTCGCATAGAGTACAGCCGCAAGAAAGAAGAGTTGATAGGTGTCACGTGGAACTGAAAATGAAGGGGGGAAAATGGAAAAAATTGGCAAAAATTAATGTCAAACGCCCGATGAGAGGCTCGAACTCTCAACCTTGGGCTTTCATATGATAGAATCTATCGTAAAAGGCCCACGCGCTAACCAATTGTGCCAACCGGGCTTGTGTTTGCTTTGTTTGATGATTGATATCGTTTGTTGAAAACTATAATGGGCATTGTGGCGGGGCGAAAGGATTTTCAGCCGGAGAATTTGGACGCAAGCACTTGGCCTGCTTATGTCAGCCCCCACCAACCATTCATATCATTGCCTCGGACATGTTGAACTGAGTAAAGTGAGATTGTTGAATTTGAATAAATACAAAATTGCAAGCAGACGTTGTAAAAGTGCAGCATCAAATCTTGGGCTTTTAGCGAGGTTTATGACGCTAGCTACCTATATAACTACATATGATATACCCTGTCCATACGAGGAAGGCACAATCAATCCAAACAAGCACGCTCCTGCCTCAGTTTGTACCCCTCAAATGGAATCCGAGGACCTCAACCAAGCATACTTCTCCTTCACATATATTCGAGATCGTATTCCGCCACTACCACCTATACCAGATACGACACAAGTGCGTCAACAGGAAATTAATCGTTTGATAATTCAATCCGAAATGAATTCTTCAACTCCACGAAGCGGTTGGTCTGTACATGGACCTCAAAATGCATGGGGAAACCTCGGAGCTAGTGGTGATCCAAATGATTCTCGAACGAGTGATGCATGGCAAGACAGTTCTACTCGTACTGCTAGAATACAAGATTTGAAAACTCAGAGATGGACTTCTACAGCAGACGATCAGGCCTATGCGTCGGATCGGAACCTTGCTGCTCAGTATGTTATCAGTGTCTCACTAATGTGTTTAGCACTTGTTATATTTTACTTTACATTATTGGCTACCAAGTCACATCCGATAAATCTAATCCCTAGGAAATCTTCCATTTGGCTTGATTCTCTTGAATTTCTAGGAGTTTGGGGCTCTGTTTTTAATCCCCAAACGAATATATGAAAAGGTCGTAAAAATGCGTATATGCTAATGACTAGCAGAGGTGACCAAACCGAAACCAATATCAACACATCTTCATACCCTCATTCAGATTTACCACTGCCCCATCCAAATCTAAATCTCGATTTTCGTATGTCAGTTTCCCTAAATCCTCGAATTTCCATTGGCCAAACACCATTTGGACATCGAAATTGGATATCATTCACAGGTGGTGTGTGGTCTGGATCGTGGGGATCAGGAATCGTATTAGTACATCAGCCTTTCCCCCTCCCTTTTTCGACACTAATGTCTCACAGCCCGGAGGTCAGGATAGCCAACTGATAATACCAGACGGATCAGCCCGTCTAGAAACGAATTATCTACTTCAAACTCATGATGATCCTCCAGCACATATTGCGATCAAAACGCATGGTTGGAGAACGGGTCCGACTGAAGTATTGGCTCAGCTAGCGGACCCTGCGTTAGCTGATCAAGTTGACCCGAATAGTTATAAATTTAGGTTGTTTATCGAGATGGAGACAGGTGATGAGAGATATTGTTCAAAGGTCAATTGTGGAATGTGGGTGGGTAGTGGAATGAGAAAGGGGGCGGAAGTTATCTATGAGTGAGTGTTCAATATCCAAACCAGGACTTGATGCAGGCTGACAATGTTGATTTAGTGCATATCGAGTATCATAATACCAGATCCGTAATCACTTTAAATCTAATGGAAATCAATGCCTTTCAAGCCAAGGAAAGTGTGCTATGCTATCCTATAAGAGGACGCGAAGCTCAAAGAAGAGGAAGTAGTGATGGTGAAAATGCCGGCCCGGGAGTTCTACTTCTTCCATTGACTTCGAGCAGATCATGATGAGGCATACAGGCTAATTTCAGTGCTATCATTTTGACCATCTTAGTATTCTAGCCGAAATAGTTGACGTTTCTGCTTGTGTACCTGCAATATGAGACTGGTTGCCCGGTCATAATAGAATGCTGTGAATGAGAAGACAACATATCATGCATCCTGGAGAGTGATTCAATTTATTTTCTTCCTTATGCTATTCACTAATGATCAATTTTCAAAGAGAAATCGACATGAGGTACACCTTGATGTATCGAACTCGTGGAGATAATATCTATATCTGAATGTATGAATTAGCAATGATCAATGAGAGAGGGAATGTATTAAACCAACCATTATTGATATAAGTTTCCACATTCTCAGATGTAAGCCCTCCACTACACTCCAGTAAGAACTCCCTCTTCCCAGCCCACCTTTGCCTTAAACTCTTCGCAGCAACCTTCAATCCATCTCCCGAAAAATTATCCAACATAATGATGTCAGCACCAGCTTCAATAGCTTCATCAGCACCCTCTTCGCTATCAACCTCTACTTCAATCTTTAATGCGAACCCACCAGCCGCTTTCGCAGCCCTAACCGCATCAGTAATGCTACCCCTAGCCCAAATGTGATTATCCTTTAACATAGTCATGCTAGACAAATCATGTCTATGCCCATCTACCCCTCCAACAATCATTCCATATTTCTCCACCAACCTAAAGCCTGGTGTAGTCTTCCTTGTTCCAGCAAGAATCCCCTTGTACCCCGCCTTCCTAACCAAAACCTCCATATCCCTCGATTTTGTGGCAATCCCAGAACAACGACTCAATGTATTAAGTGCAACTCTCTCTCCTAGTAAAAGTTTTCGTACTGGCCCAGTAACAGTAGCTACGGCTACTTTTCCGGATGCGCCAGGATCGACTAATGTTCCTTCCTTCATATGCCATTTCACAGAACATCCAGCTTGTGCGAATACCTCATCGAAAAATGGCACACCTGCTAATATTCCTCGCGATTTTCCATATAGAGTTGCAGTTCGTTCGCTATCACCAACAACGAATCCGCCGTAATCGAAGGAGGGGGTATCTTCTGCAAACCATGCTGTGATTTGAGATTTCCAGTGGACAGGAAGGAGATCTGCAGGGTTTCCATGTTCGAGAGCCATGATTTTCGATGTTTTATAGGACTACCCAGGGTATTTAGGAGGGAAATTGTAAAAAATTGAGGCAAATAAGTTTCCTTGCTCAAGACGTTATGGTTATAGACTGAATGTTTAGATGTTCGGAGGGGTCGGTCGATATCCGAGGGAGGCTTTAGAACTAGGGGACGCTTGGGCCTAGCTTGGCCATGCCCCTCCGCAAAGATAGATCTTGAGCTTGTGAGTTCTCAACACGACATCGCTTTGGTTCATTTCCATCTTGTAAAACATTTCCTAGCTTCTTTTCTATCATCTCATCTGTTAATGTAATTTCTAGTCACATTGCAATTATTTATATAGACCAATAATGTTAATTGCAGCACTTTATCGTATGCTCCATACCAAGCTCAGGTGCTTAGCTTTGGCGGACGAAAGAGATTCTCGTAGCTGTATGTAGGCAACAGTCAGCACTAAAAGACAAGTTGTTCCCAGGTAATATATCTGCCTTCCTACTCGAAAGATCTATAGGGTATGAGAGCTGCAAAATCTGTTTGAGATTCAATATATTTCTAGAATTGGCAACTATATGTAAATCAACTTTTGGTTGAATGATAATCACGTCAAAAAAGATAGCCACAAGATTAACATAAGAAAGAGACATCGCCCTCTTTGAATCCTCTATATTATGTCTTGTCTTTCACATCAGTGGATTTATTGGAGTCAAAGATGGGTTATCACGAGAATGTTTGTCAAATTTGTGCTGTATCATTCAATCTAGCAAGGTGCCGCACAAAATATGAACCACCAGAGGCTGCTTGGGGCTATTCGACTGGTTTGTATTATGCTGGAGAAGCGGAAACCTGCTTTGATTTGTCAGAAGAAACTGGCTGTGAGGAAACTTCTATAAATGGACGAACAAATGCGCATATTGCTGGTCCAAATTGTGTTTTCGATGGGGGCTACAGTGGATATCGTATATCAGTGGCACAAATGAAGGTGAGTGCAATTTTTATTATTAAATAGCCTCCCATTACTTACCATTGTAGGATATGAGGCTATCTCGTTACATCATTAAGAAACCAGAAAACCTCTCTGAAGAGGAAGGTGCACCAGACTATGAAAAATGCAGTGATTACTTTATCACCAATCAGTCAATCAGCACCCAAGATGATTGGGAGCCGGGTGCCTTACCCCGTTACCGTTACGGTGTCAATTCGTTCATGGCTATGAATTGTGAGATTATCGAGGAAGACGGGTTCTCTCGTGGCGTTCCAGTTCACGATTCATGCTGGAAAATCTTCGAACGTGTTTCAAGAATTCGACTGGGGAGGGTTGACCTCCAAGGATTTATGGCCCTTTGGCATGTATGTTACTTCGACTGTAATGTTATAAAAATGTTGACTCGTTACTTCTCTAGAGGTCTGCATGCTCAAATTGTGGTTTCCAAAATATCAAACAGGAATCCATATTAAGAGAGTGCAAACAGCAGTGGTGGAGTCATATTCCTGGCTCGGAAGTGCGTTTTTATTCCCAAAAGTATCATGATAAATATTAATATGTTGCTAGTATCTTGCGGCCAATCCTCACGACATTCCGGGATTTTCTCTCATATTATCAGAGGCATATGAACATCAAAGTCATTGTGATAAGAGTAAGGGCTCTGTTTGGCGCAAGAAACAATTCAATGGAAATGTATCGCAGCTATATGTGAACTCAACAGATCATTTTAACAAGCTCCCGATCGAACTCAGGCACATAATTTTATACCAACTTGAATCTAAGGATATCGCAAACCTCCGCCTGGTAAGTCGCGCATTTCGTCAACTCCCCCAGCAGCTGTTTAGACATCTCCTTGTGAAGGAGCTTCCATGGTTCTGGGAGATCGATCAGATTCAACAACGCAAAATGGAACAATATCGAAAAATGCTCCTCGATCTATATGGAAAAGATCTCGCGGGACTTGAGGGAAGAGACGACTTTGAGTATGTGCAATTTGTTAAAGATTGTGTCGCTATGAAACCGCCAAGTTTTGTTTGGAAGCGAGTTTATGATCGAGTCAAACTTTTGCAGAAAGGGAACCTGAGCGTGAGGAATAGGGTAAGAGTCTGGGGATTAGCGGAGAGAATAGCTGAACGCATTGGTCATTTGAGAGGTATGGAAATTGCCGGAAAAGGGTACAATCCAAGGTACGATGAGGATAATTTGCAGGTCAAGCCTACGAAGCAAGAAGTTGATAGTGGCGCCGTCAATCATGGGCATGAATGTAGTGAGTGTAATTACTACCAGGTTGAGAGAATGGAGGATATCGAGCGAATGCTAGATGCATAGGATATTATCTATCTCATCGATTGCTTAACATTCAAAATTAACTCAGTATTTCAAGTCATTTGAATTATCTTATTGAAATTTAGGAATTTTATCCATCTCACTGCCGAAATACAGGCCAGACCATTGCAAACCATTGAAGAACATTGGGTGCTTACCTAAACTCGAGATTCTTGTATTTTCCTTCTGGGAAGTTGATCAAAAGTTTGCTCCAGTACTCTTCCCCTCATTTTCTCTGATGGGCGCGTAAGCGCTGACAACAAGCTTTTGGGTCGCCAACCTCTCAACGCAATCCTGCGGCAATGGAAGTCAGAGCTTGGGGCAGGTATTTGTCTACCTTTATTTGCAAGATTGAACAGAACTATCACCAACATGATAGTAACCAAGCGCGAAGAATTTGAACAATCCTCTCAAGCCCGCGAAAAATACACTCAAATCATCGAATGCTCATCATTGGCCAGTAATCTGACAGTTGGAAGCACTGCCGAAGAGCCCAGCGGCTATCGATGGTTGGCAACCACCACGCTTTCATTCAAGACCTCAAGCAACTCATGTGTCTCTTGGCTCAGTCTGTGGATTCTCCTTGCTAGACGCTTATTTTTCATCATACCAAATAATTTGAAGTCAATGCGGTTTTGTAATTATATCACCAAATTACTTCCCCGCCCTCATTCAACTCAAGATATCTGAATAGCTTTCCAAAATACTGACGTTCACCATGACATCACAATGTGATTCGAAACAACCGCCACGTCCTCACTCACCTGCATCAATGACAGTGCCACAGATTCCGTCTTCTATCCACACCGAACAACCAGTTCGTCTACATCTCTCATCTCATAATACCTGGGTGTCACTAACTTTATTTTCCCCAGAAACTAATCAATGATATGACTCTATCACCAGGATCCGAATCTCCAGTAAACTTAAGAGGAGGTGGACGTCATAATCGACATCATCATTCTCATACAGGAAGAAAGTAAGTTCTTGCAATTTTCGCTGATTGGCGAATAAGAGAAAGTTTCATACTAAAGTCTTATGATAATAGTACTGCAATTGTGAGTGGTGTGTGCTGTTGTGAATGTTGTGAATGCTGTTGCTGCATATGACAGAAAGGATGAGAAGGATAGTAAGGTTATAAGGATTTCGGGATAGATTGCACTTCTTAGGTTAGAGGATGGAAATTAGGTGACGGAAACATCTTTTGGATTAGCTGGCTGAATTTTAATATTCCACTTGGAAGATCGAATGCTAAATTGAGCAAGGTGCCGGCGTGGTTAAAAGTGAGTTTTGGACGTCAAAGACTGAGTGCCTTCGCATATTCTGAAGGATGAAGAGAACAGTAGTCGAGCCACTTTCCATACCTTAATTGCTGAAGTAATAAGAAAGCTTCAATGGCTTGAGATAACAAGAATTGCAAAGTGATTGTTGTAAAAGGACATCACAACTCTCACAGAGGGTCTACCAAGTCTATATTCACGTGATTCCACCAAAATACTCTCCCCACCACGCCTCGAACCCTACACGAGAAACAATTTTCAACGCGATCAATGGATTCAACGCAACAGTATTGCTGCTCTGAAAATTGTAAAATGGCATGCTAGCGAGTTGGAAATCGAGTAAATATGCCTTCAGACTTCCATCTTTGGAGTAACTTTAATCCACTCGAATTTGGGGCTTGCGAGGCTTTCTCTTGGAGGTGAAGTGGAGTTCGAACAAAGCAATGTATATCTATAACTATGATATCTGGAAATCTTATGGAACGCTAGAACTTGATAGTGTTCCGATGAGGTCAACTATTACATTGCAACCTGCAATTGAAAATCAGGTCGTGGTCGACAAAGGTTGTGGATTGAAACCAACATAGCACGTGGATTAGCTGCCACTTGGCTAAGTAACCGTCATGTCACGATTGAATTGTTGTTTGCTCAACATGCTCTTCATTTGTCAGTCAATGCCAGGGTGTCAATAGCTCAGAGCGAGCTGGAGAAAATCAATCATTCATTTATGTCACGTGGTTTGTGTGAGGTGACTCCTTTCATCCATCTAGTTCATGGAGAAGGGGATCATCAGCGATGCAGAGGAACTTTTGGTAGTGAACGGTTTATACCAGAGTTATATGTTATTCTATTACCGTATGCACTCGTTAGATTATTCCCAGACCTTGGGATTTGCTGCACTCGCTGCATAGTTGTGTCAATGCCTGTTTCTTCGGGATTCGCTTCGTTTGTACCCATTGGATCATCAGAGCACCAATGGTCTCACCTTGTTTGTGCTCCAATTTGTCACAGATCATTGAGAGTGCTATGATGATATTGCTTCATTGTCTCACTATGTAGGACGGAATTTCACATTGCAGATACGTCAAGGCTGAATAAATGTGGAAGAATTTTTATAATTTTTTTGGTGTACTGTTGCAGAGAATCTGATGTCATTCTCTGCAAGTTACAGTGCATTTATTGTACAGAAAGCCAACTAACGAAAGATAAGAAAAGGCATTCCTGCCATGTGCTTGTAATTCGGCAACCCATCCATCAACTGTATACCAAAACGTGTCTTGGTGAAGAAGCTTCCTCTAGACTTGTTACCAAACAGTCTTGGTTGAGGCCAGTCCCCAAAAGTTAAGAGCCGTCAAAGATATTCCCTGCCGTTACTACATCCGATCTCTATAAATCATATCCCAAAGACTTCCGAGCTAGCATTGGCCCGAACCATCGATGATTGATTGACTTCCATAACGACAGGATCTACTTTGCTTGTGTTTGAGACAACTTTGGTTGCTCCAAAAATTCCGTCTTGTAGACACCCGACAATCTACGGCCGAACTCAGAATAATCAGTGACTTTTACATAGTCACCTTCAAATCCGCGGACCTCGTAGGTCAGCTTCCAGTTCTTGCGCGACAAGCCCCACAAGCCTGCAGCCAGCTTCATTTGAGGAAAGTTGTAAGTGTCAAGGTACATGTTGACATCAAGATGGGTCCATCTGAACTTGTTAATGATGGCATAGAAGGTCTTCATCTTTTCGAGCCGATTGACGACCTTTTCACGAGCCTCAAAGTGAGGAGTAGGTGTGTGAATTTCGATTGCCATCTTTGTGACATGAGCCTCGTAATGAGGCAAGACTTGGAGGAGCGTAGTCATATCTGTGTCTTTAGCGATTCGGATGCCAATCTCCTTGTCACCAAGAATCTTAAGGCTGGGATGAGCGGGCAGTGTAGTCATGTCAAAAGGCTTAGCTGCAAGAGCCTTCGCAGCATCGGATGCGATCTTTTGCTTTTCGGCAATCTCTGCGAAAAAGGCAGCAGATGGTCGGGCTTGGGCCGCATTACCTCGAGCGTTTTTGTTTCCCATGATGATGATGATAATGAGAAGAAGTATTGGTATGGTAAGGAGTTTGATATAAGCTTGAGATAAGATGATCGAAAGATGTGGTGTTGGATTCGAGGAAGTTCAGTGATGATTAATCAGAAGATGATGTTGTAAGTAGAAAGGAATTTTTGGAAGAGAACTCCAGTTCCTTAAAAGTTAAAATTCTCTCTGTACGGTTAGCCGCTAGCGTCTAGTGGCGATGGGTAACTGTATTGTAGCACCTTAAGCGAGGCAAAAGAAACACGATTGATTATCAGTCTGTAGCAAAAGGTACGGCTACATTAATAAGTACTAAAGTTGTTTGGACCCGCCTCTAGCTATATTCACTGCGATTAACAGAATATATGTACGCAGTCATCAGTGGTGACATTATTGTTATTTCTTCTTGGACATTCATTTATATCTATGCTTTTCGAAATCGTATCTTCTGCGAATACAAATTTGATGGTTGTATATATCTTTTATGTAGAAATAATGTGATCTTATCACCTAAGAAAGACAGGTAAGATGTATCTTAGGTGATGTGGTATGTCTTTTTGTGCTCATAAAATTGTATTTTTGTACTCTATGGTCATGCTTCTTACTGCATGGCGTTGATAGCAATTCCCTGCAAATCTGATGATTCTCTCACTCCCTGAAGGGTAGCTTGTTAGAAGTCTAATAACTTTTGGTTCAGTATATGGTTTATGTGTTGCCTTTCAATGCAAGCATTTGGACACACCAAATCAATTACCATGAATATGCTGAGGCTAGCGATTAGAAAATGCGAAAAAGGATACAGAGAATCACATCAGAATATTGAATGGAAGTTATGTTTTCATCAGATGAAAATCGATGTTTTAGATAATCTCGTCGTTGTTTCTTATAAATCTGATTCTGGTAGGGATGTCCACACTGCATCCCATCATAGGATGCATAAACGATAGTAGAAATGAGCATACTGTGTGACATTGGGTTTGCATTCAAGCTTAAAAATACACTCATGGTTTTACAAATGTGAGCATTTTCAGGTTCACATTTTATTGGCAGATGGAGAAATATGGCTTTGTGGCCAGAGGATTTTATTAACGTCTGTCAGTTTGCTACAAGAAGCTATTACCTGTTGAACGGCCCTGATCAGTGTCAAAGGACAACCCAGAAGGCCCTAAATCTGTGACAAACAAATTAGCACAGAGCTGCCGCCAAAAGCACAACGCTTTCATCCCGAAACACTGATACTTGATCCACCCCCCACCCGAAAGATACGTCCACAAAAACTGCCCCCGCCCCATTTAGGACCTGATAACACCCATTTGTAATCTAAACCTGGGTCAAGAACTCCTTCTTCCAGACACCACGAAGTCTCAAATCATACTCGCTACCGCGGAAGATTTGGATTGGATCCTCCTCAACCTCATTAACTTCATTGTAAACTTGGTAAAACAACTGCCACTTCTCTGTGCGCGTATTAGTATATATCTGTCAACAGGAGCCTTTTAGGACTTACTGAATCGCAATCCGTGGATCACAGCGCCCAACTTCATCTGGGGAAAGTTGTCCTTATCAACGGACATTGTAACTTTGAGTTTGTACAAATTGAAGCTATCGATAATGGCGAATAGCTTCTTCATAGAGCTAACGCGGTTATTGTAGAACTCCTTGGACTCAGTGTGAGGCCATGGAGCATGAATCTTGATGGACAATTTCTTGATTGTCTTATACTCCATCAAGGCTGTGCGAAGAGCCACCATGTCGGTGGGTGCATCATCCATAAATCCACACATCTCAATGTAGATTGAGATTTCCTTGTTGTTAATGATTGCAATTGCCGGGTGCTGAGTCAATGTATCGAGATCGACGATCGGCTGAGGCTTGTGCTTAGCCGTAGCGGCGAGGAAAGGATTGACGGTCTTATCCTTCTTGAAAAAGGCTGCGGCTGATGGACGCATAGCAGGAGCTACGTTATTGACGATCTTTTCCTTGTTGAGAGAGAGTGAAGCTGGAGGCTGCATGGCTGGCTTTACATTACCAGCAACCTTCTTCTTCTCGAAGAAAGAAGTAGTAGATGGGCGCATGGCCGGAGTTGCGTCACTGCTGGGGTTCTTGCTTCCCATTCTGAGTTATGACGAGTTGAGTAGTTAATAAGTTTGGTAAAGTTGAAGAAGAACGAATTTGAAGACTTTTGAAGGAGTCTAGAATGAAGAATTCTTGACTTTTTGTTGAACTGTAGAGATTGTCAATCAGAGAAACATATTGTAAAGAGATGTAGTAAGGAGATGTTGTAAGGAAGAAAAAATCGTTTCTCCAGAATAGGAGAACCCTTAAGTAGTCTTTCTCCAAAACAGTCGACTGCGACTAGTGTCTGGTGCCATCTGTATATACAGCATTACGGCCGAAACATGATGGTATACAGCAGATTTCTCCACTACAACTCAAGGGATTGGATATTGTATGGTGAATGATGAATTCGCTTAATTAGACATGGTTTACAGTACGGCAGCGAGTTCTGAGAGAATTTAACTAGACTAGCCTACAAGCGTGCCGATATCTACTCTGTACTGCAATTCATCACTCTTGATATTATGGAACTAGGAGACAAAGACCAAAAGAGAGATCTGCTCGTGGCCAAAAAAGATGAGAAAATCAAGACTTGGAGGCTAATCTACAAGGGTCTGGTCTCATAGACCGTTCAACCTGAAGAGGTAATGTAGATTCATTTCATGGGACTCACGATTATAGTAAATAAGATACATCACGCTGATACTTAGAGTTGAAATTGTTATATTGAAAAATGAAATATTATTGAAGAGTTAAAGCAAGTATCCGATGTCTGAAGTTAAGCTAGCGATTTTATTCAGAAACATCCAAGAGCTCACGTGTAGGAAATAACATCACCCAAGTAAAATTATGCTTGTCGACCTGTCTTCACGGCAGTGAAACGCTTGATGTCCTGGAAATCGTTTAACATAGACATGATACTCTGGATGGTCTCTCTGCGTTGATAACCCTCGTCAGTGTCTATATCTGAAAGCTCGTCGTGGAATCTGATATGAATAAAGCGTGTGAAGGTGTCATACTCCGGGAGTACTTCCATCAGAGTTGGAACGTGTGTGGACTCCTGACCAATTTCTGGATGGAAATCGACATTAACAATCAACATTTGGCCAAAGAGCTTGACTGCTGGGTGGGGATGGAGTGTTGCTCGTTCTTTGCTGGCCTGATCTCTCTTGATCTGCTTTCCCCTACTATTGCTGGTCTGGACTTTCTGCTGAGATTCTGGTGTTGTTTGAAGTGGGTCAATAGGCTCCATGTTTTCTCTAGTAGAGCCAATCTGGAAAGACCAGCCCTTTTTGAACATCGACCAATCCTTGTGGGAAGACATAATGTAGAATTGAATTGGGATTGCTTGACTGAATTTATAGTTAGTAGAATTGGATACTGCGGAGTAGTGCTGTTTGATGATCAGAAAAGTCATGGTAATCATGTCCGTATTTGTACAATGAGTTCGCCTGGACAATACAATTGTTCAAAAAGTATTACTACCTTATTACGCTTGGTCTTTGTTGTCTGCTCAAAGGATAATCCATTGTCTGGACTATGCTTACTACCTCTTCTATCCCATCCTAACTCTTCCCTTTGTTTTCGTGGAGCATTCTTTGTGGGTTTACAAGCCTTTGTTAGGAACACAACAGATAGATTTACCCATAGAAGTATTGCTGCCTCTATTGAAGAGGGTGTCTTGCGTATCTTTGAATCTCCATGATCTAGATTTCGTTGATGAGAGACTCTAAGCACTCCTTGTTAGATTATGGAGGCTTCTAAAACAAACACTCGGCTTGGAGAATTAGGGGATCGAAGAGCTACGTAGAAAGTATTGAAGTTCACTGTCAAACAATTCATCGCTTAGTAACCATATGTTATCAGTGATATATCTATCATCTAAGAATGAAAGAGGGGTGGTAAATGTGATAATACAATGCTACATGATACACGCGAGGTGTAAACAAAATTGCGCCAAAGAAGACACGAGATGTTCCCAATTCTCATAATAACTTGTTAAAACTCCTCCTAAATTCGTAACGAGTTATCAATTCACCCGCCATCTCACCGGTTCCCATAAGAGCATAAGCCGAGGCAAACGACATCTTGCTTCCATTTCGATGGCAACCCCCCATCCCCCCTCTCAAAAATACTCAGACCTCTTCAACGAGATGTCCTCTCATCATAACTGTCTATACGTTACAGTCTCTGTGGTAGACACCACGGAGGCGCCTCATGAGGTAGCCTTGTGTGTCGATCCCGAAAAGAACAGGTCTGTCTTCAATGTAGTAACTCAAACTCCAGTGCGTCTTAAAAGCTAAGAAGCAAGCTGCTAATTTGATTTGCTGGAAATTGGAAAAGTCTATCTCTAGTCGAACATTGATATGACTAAGATTAGTGAAGGAGTTGTTGATTTTATCGACTAAAGCCATCATCTCAGAAACATGCTGAGTGTAGATGCTAGGACTTTCCCAGCGGCGAATAATTCGTGGGTGAATAAGAAGATCGATTTTAGCTGCCCATGGACCGAATTCAACTACACGGTCAATCAAGATAGCCATATAAGCAGCAGTCTCTTCCCGTGTGTTGTCTTCGTTGTATGCGACGGTTATTTGCAAGGCTTGTTTACCTTCTAACCAATACAGCGAATCGTGTTCTTCGACGAATGAAGGCGGCTTGGGAAGAATTAGAGGAAGATTAGCTTTCTTAACTTGGGTATCCTTGTGGACCATGACTTCTGAGAAACTCTTTAGCATCGTGAGACTAAGTGATATCTATTTAACGAGGGGATCTGACTTGCCGGTAGGTTCACTTGAGTCAAATACCTATCTCCGTGAATGTTCTTGAGACTTAAGTTAATATCAAAGATCTATCAGACGTGAAAGATGGATTTCAGTGGAGGAGGCAGAATCGAGGATTTAGGGCAGGTCAGGCAGAAGGAACAAAGTAGGATTTCACACGCACAGAAGAAGAACTTTTATAGTTGCCAGAAAATACTTTATTAGATTAGTGAAGATGGATCTAGAGTTTATTGGATTACAGAAATATGTTGCTGCTGTAGTCGTTAAGCTATTTGTTGTTAAGCCACAGAATTTCCATTATTACCTAATCTATTGAAAAAAAAACCCCAATTACAAGTAACTCCATCGACAAAACGATTACAGAAACTGCAAATTCTAGAAATTTCAATACATTCCTTAGAAGTAGCTAGATCCAATTAAACAGAATAATAGCTTCAACCAATAGAATATTTGATCATCCCTGTGATAACAAAGTTAATATTCCAAACAAAAATAAATTCAATATAAATCCCTATATAAATTTCTATTTTATATATTACAATATTAATATATATATTTATTAATAACAAATAGAGTTTTTTATTACTAATAAATCAAATCGATTCTTTTTGTAACCCATTTATTATTGAATTTTGATTAAAAAAAAGAAAATGAGGATTTTGAAAGGTCTTAAAGCTTTTAAGATTTTCGAATATTAGGATTGAGGGGAAGGTGAATAAAAAAGTATATATATAGAAGGTTAAAGAGATAAATAAAAGCTAAAGGGGAAAAGAGGAATAAGTATAGAAGCTAAGGAATAAGTGAAATATATTTGTTAGAAATAAACAGTAAGTTATATATAGAGAGTAATATATTGAATATGTATATAAAGTTTATATATTCTGGAAGTTTGGAGAAAAAGTTTTATAATGGTGTATATGTGCTATACACATGCTATATATATAATTTCCAATATTCCTTTTATAATAAGAATTTATTATTTAAATTATATAAACTTTATATATATATATATTTGTGAAGAGTCTTATTAATTTTTGTAATAGTACTAACACTTTAGTATTGCTTGTAGTGTTTATATCTTTAATGGAATTCGATAACCCTATAATCTAATATTGTATTGTAGTATAAGAGTATTCTTTTATTTGAATTCTATTCTCTCTATTTATATCAAATGAAATCCAATTTATTATAAAGAGATATAGTAATACAAATTCGATCTACTTTTATAAAATCCTCTTTATGTGTATACTAATGGATTACTTCGAATTTGTTATTTTTGGATTGTAGGGTCACCTTTTTAGTATGGTAAATAACCCAAATTCAATTTTATATGAACAAACCTTTAACTTATTTGTTATCTTATATGATTTTTTTAAAATAATCAATTTAATCAATTTGATTAATTTAATCAATTTAAATTAATCAAATTAATCAAATCAATCAAAATAATTAATTTGAGTAAATATAATACTAATATTTATTGATTCTTTTTAATATATATATATTCAGTATTTTAGGTTCAATTTTAAATCTTTTCTATAAATTATAAAGCTAGGGTATATAAATTATTTTGTAAGGATATTAATAGTTTACTTAATTTCTGGAATCCATACGATATATAGTCTTTTTGTATTAACTATATCTTTCCGAATATAATATCATCAAATATTAATATACTTTGCCTTATTATAAAACTTATTCTCTTACATCCAATCGATTTTATTTACATTATTATAATATAATATTGAAATAAAAAGCTTTTTCTCAAAGCTTTTATTTAAGTTTTTTATTAGCTTTTTTATTTAAACTAATTCTTTTGTATTCTTATTTATTATTATAATCTCAGTTTCTATTATATAGAGAGATGTTGATTTCTATTTTATTAAAGATTATATTATAGTATTTCTATATTTGATAAAAACTATTTCTTAAACAGATTTCCTATTAGTTATAGATTCTCATATCGAATTTGTATAAACTCGATATTTATATATAAGCATATTTAATTGATTTAAATAGATTATATTAACTGAGTATATATCAGCGAGATATTGAAATAAGTGTTTTGTAAGTAATAGATGATTTTCTTTTAATATATATATAATATAAACAAGTTAGCCTATGATATATACTATATTGAATTAAATATAATTCGAAAGATAAATAGTACTACCAATAATCTGAAAATATAGAATTATATTGTCTTTGTAAAGAAACTTATTTTTGTTTATATCTTATATAGCTGTATTAGAAGGTAAAGGCAAATTTTTGATATCAATAAGGTTGATGCCGAATCTGTACAAAATCTTTTTTATATAATTCAATTAATATATTTTGAATAATCAGTCTTATCGATTTCGTTTTATTTGAATACCTAGGAATATACTAGTTTTATTAAGGTCCTTGTATTTCCAGTGATTTCCAATTGTTTTTTTTATTGAATTCATATTAATGCGATTTTTTATTATTAATAGATTATTTATATATAGTAGAATATATATTCCTTTTTCTATAAAGAGATTTGGATTTACTATAGATTCTTTGAGTTTAATTTTTTTAAAGAATCTCTATATAATTGTTTATTAAACTTTTGGAGCTTATTTTAGTTTATAAAGGGATTTTTTTAATTTGAGATATAATTTGTCTTTAAATTTGATTTTGGGAAAGATTTCTTCAAAATATTTTAGTATTTTTATAAGAATTTCTATATTTATTAGTTTACCATTTAAAAAAGCAGTTTTGATATTTATATTATTGATTTCTAGATTTTCTATTATAGCTTTTACTAATAAAATATATAATATCAAGTATCTTATTATATTAATAAAGATTTCTTAATAATTTATTCTATATATTTGAAGATAATTCTTAATTATTAGTTTTATTTTTCTTTTAATCAATTTACTAAAACAATCTAATTTATTTCTTAGAATATATTTATTATTTAATAGTTTTTGGTCTGTGGGCATAGTTTTATTTATAATTTCGAAGATATTATTATTTTTGAGATTCTATAGTTTATTTTTGATTACTTTTATTTATATTTGAGTGTTTCTTTATATAGTGTTTTTGAGTTTTATTAATTCTTTTAGTATTAATTCAAAATTATTAATTAAAAAATCTTTAGAATATATGGAGATAGTATATAATACAATTATATACTGAATAATCTAATTACTAAAGATTTTTCTTAATTGTTTTTTGTAATTTTTATTTAGAGTATTTCGGATTAGAATAATTATTGAAATAAATCTAATTCTTGGAATTTTTATAATTATTTATATTTTCTATTTTGAAAATAGAGATACTTATATATTTTATACTAAATATTTAGTTCTCTATAATTATTATTATTATAGTATTTGTGAAGAATAGATCTAAATTTCTTTTTATTCTTTTTAGATTTGAGCTTCTATTTATTCATTAATGTATATATCTTTATATATATCTTTTTATACTATTAATTATACCCTTCTTTTTATAGTCTTTTACAAATCATATGGATAAGGTTTCCTTTTTCTTTCTATTTTAGATAGTTCTAGAATATTCTTTTTTTTGAACTTTTTAAATAGGTATTTATATTTATTGAAATTAGTATCTATTATTCTAGTAATAATTTTAATATAAAAATTGAGAAGGTAATAAATATTATTTCTATTCATTTTAATTATAATATATTCTCCTTTGAGTATTTTAAATTTGAATTTTTTTGTTATTAAATCTGATTGCTAAGAGTTCCTAATTCATAATTTGTAATTAAATATTTTAAGCTTTTTAAAGTCAGGTTGTTTATTATATATAGCTTTGTATAGTGTTATCACTATAGAGAGTATTCTTATTTCTCTAAAAGATAATATTTTAATAAATGATTTGTTCTTTAGATATATAGTATATTTAATAATAAATTCCTATATACTAGATTTGATATCTGATTTGCTTAATAGTGATTTTGTTGTAGTATTAATATTTTGAATTTTCTTTTTAGTTATTCTATTTATAGAGTGTTTTTTAGAAGGTAAGAATTTGAATATTAATTCTTTTTTTTCAATTTCTATTTGAAAAAATATATCAAATTTATTTTTTTTATTGTTTACTCTAATAATAATAATTTTATAATTAAACTTTTTTTTGATTTAATTAATAAGATTTATTAATATAGATATAATAGTCTCTATAAATTTATTTTTTATAAATTTGAGTTAAGTTTTTTTTGTTATATTATTAATAATTACAATAAAATATCTGTTTTTATTTTCAAAAGATTCTTAAATCTCTAATAAATTTATATATAAACATTATAGTTTTATAAATATATAAATAGTTATATATTTATTAAAATATTTATTTATTCTTTTTGTAAGATAAGATTTATAAGTTTTTTGATTAGTACTTTTCTTTTTTTTAATATAATACAGATTATTTGAGGTTTTCTTTAGCTTATCCATTTGATTATAATTGAAATAATCTAAGCGTTGATATATAATCTCAGCTTTATTATTATTTACATTAATTTCTTCTTTTTCTGAATCTATATTAATTATATATACTTATTAAATAAATAATTATCGAATAATATAATTACTATTAATATATCTTATAGCCATTTCTAACTAACCATTTTTTCAGTATAACACTAAATCCCTTTTGAAAATGATTTTTCGATTTATTTTGGTAAATATTCTAACTAAAATAAATTAATTGTTTTAAAAGTCTTTAATATACCAAACATTTTTTAATGTAAGATTATCTATAGTAGTTATTCTGTATATAATACTAATAGTATAGATATAATTCACTATCTTGACTTTTTATAATATATTTTAATATATAATATTAATAAGATTTTTAATAGAGCTAATAAAATAATGAAAGGTTTTTAAATCAAAAATCCATATATTATTTTAAACTTCAGTATACATTGCAATATAAGAATAAAGGGAATTAGTATATTTGTTTATTATAGTTATTTATGTAAAACTATTATTATTATTCTTTTTATTTGAATATAAGACTTTTTTAGCCTTATTATATTTCCCAATAAGTATTTTATTAATATCCTTTTTTTTTATAGAATTTGTAAATATAAGATTTAGTTTTGATAATTTTATTAGAATTTAGTAAATTTGTATAGTTTTTTTTAAATATATATTTTCTTCTATTTCTATAATATTTTTTATATCCTTTTTTACTTTTTTCTTAAGCTTTTTTATTACCTCTTCCTTTTATATTTCCTTATATAATATTAATTATTATTGATTGATTTATTGTTTCTTAAAGAATTCTTTTAGTTTGCTAAAGAGCATATAATATATCTTAAAAGTTTATATTCGTAGATATAATAAAGTTATATTATATTTACTAGACTTCTGTTTCTAATAATATACTTAAAAGCTGAATATAGATATTTATATTAATAATAAATTACTTTATTCTAGATGTTTTATACTGATATTTGAGAAGATAATTAAAGAAGATTTGAATAATCTTTATTTTTGAATCAAATTGTTTATAAATGAATAGTTTTTAAAGATTCTAAATATATTAAGGATTTATAATATTATTAAATATTAATAGCTTTGTTTAAATATTTGAAAAATTATTTGCTATAAATAAAGATACCAATTAAAAACGATATATTGGGGTTAAATAGAAATTGATAATATTGATAGCAATTTCTTTCTTATTTTTCCAATCTATAATTTTTGAGTAAAAACCTACCAGCATTTCTTCTTTCCTTATATACATTTTTAATACATTAGCTCCTAGCATTACAAATATAATATATTTATAGAAGTTTATTTAGTTATTACCTTTAAAAACAACAAAAGATTTATATTTCAATTAGAATAATTCGATTTTAGTTGATTCCATTATATTTGAATAGTATGAATTATTATATTAAATATATTATAAAAGAAATAAAATGAAGCTTTTTATAATATGGTGTTTATAATCTATCAGAAATAGATAGTAAGTTATATATAGAGAATGATATATTGAATATATATATAAAGTTTATATATTCTAGAAGTTTAGAGAAGGAGTTTTATAATAATATACATGTATTACACATGTACTATACATGTGATTTCCAATAATATTAATCGAAAGTTTAAAGAGGAGTAGAGTTCTTTTAATAAGTTATATTATATAAGGGAAATCTATAAAAGAGTTTTTAAATAAAATTACAAATTATATTATTATATTATGTAATATAGAATATATTATATAAATAAGAATATAATCTAATTTCAATTTATATATAAATAAATTTGAAATTAATAAATAGAAATATAATAAAAAGATTAATAATTCTTAATAGATTCTAATTGAAATATCTAAAAGAATTTTTCTATTTTTTTATTGAAATTTAATAAGAAATTAATTTAGAAGGAAAAAAAAAGGAAGAGAGAGAAAAGAGAATTGAAAAGCAAGTAAAATCTAGAAGCTTTTTATTTAACAAATAATTATTACTTTAGACCAAAACTTTCAATTAATCTTTTAGAATTTAAGAAATTCATTAAGAACTTATTAATTAGAATAAGCTTTATAAAATATAGAGATTTAGATTAATTATATTAATACTTTAAAAACGATTTATTTAATATATAATAAAGGTATTATAGAATTTATAGTAATTATAAAAGGATCACTTCATCAATCACGGATTCTGCCACCACAGGGGCACGCCTTTGTCAGTTCCACATATAAAAGTCGGAGTTAAAGACCTTACAGAAACCCTGAGAAACTATAACTAGCTAGGCAGAAACACCTCGAATGATCAATCAATGGGGTCCGAATGTGAGTGGAGATCTCACTAACAAAATTGCTCTGATGGCGTACGATAAGATATTGGATTCTCACAACTAATATTGAAACAGTACTATCAAAACGTTTTTTCTAGTAGTATAAAAATTTGTGCTCAATGATACCACGAATAGAAGCTTTAAAATATAAGTTACATGAAGCAGCAGGGAGATTAGAGAAAGAGTCGAGCATGAGAAAACAGAAACACGATTAGAAAATGAAGTCAAGCATCATGATCAATTATTAAAATTTGGGGCGAAAAAGGTAGAGTTGAAACAACTCGGATCACTCATGGTAGGTGACCTTTCGTTAGCCTACTCTCCCCTTTACTTCATGCCTCGCCTACGCAGCAACTAGTACTAGATCCCCTATGAACTCGCAATACCTGCTCCTCATTATCCGACAATCATCTCACAAAAGGTCACCATCGTCCAATACCCTTACTCTGGTACTCTTTCTGTCGTGCACAGGATTCGCGACCCAAGCCACCCCTAACTACCCATCTAGTTTGCGAAATCCTCCCTATAGACACTTTCGATTCTCTTGAAAACCGAATCCCTCTTATGAATCTCATTAATCTTAGTCCTATCGCTCCTTTCGATATACGCCAAAGTCCAATTACCATTATCGAGATTGATAAATCCAGCCGCTAATCTCAACTGCGAAAAACTAAAGTGGTCGATGACAAATTGACAGCGGATTTGTTGAACTTGAGTGAGAGAAGTATTGATTTGTTGAACCAGGTCTTTTATTTCTTGGACGTGATTGATGTAAGCCCGAGGTGCGTCTTTGCGAGAAACTCCAGGGTAGATGATGAGTTCGAGAATGCCAGTCCACGAAGTATATGTTGGGCTCTGGAGCTGGCGAATAATGATAGACATATCTGTCTGTTTATCTCCCGAATAATTGATGGAAAGACTCAAGATCTTATTGGATTTGGTGTGCCATTCCTTGTTCAAGACTGGTCCAGGGAATGGGGATGTTGGAATGAAGCACTCTCGAGTGGCTTCATCAGGGTTGGTATTGCCGATTTGACTTCTCCATCCGACGTGATAATTCTCATCGCTGTTGCAGAAATCGCAGGCGCAATCTTCCGGTGCTTCGTGTTTGCTGTGAATATTTTGTTTCAAAGACGGGACATCAACTTTATTGTGTGTAGACCAGTCTATAGGAAGACGAATGAATCGAGGCATTCTGGTGAGGTTATCGTGGAGAGATTGGAGGAAATAATTCATATTTTTGACGAGATGACTAGAAGCGCGGATAGTCAGCAGTCTGTTTAGTTCTCGGATTTGATAGAGGTGATTGGAATTCGATTTATTTGCTGTCGGAAGCTCGAACCTAGATGTGAGAGGTAGATGAGAATACGACGACCTTCGCATATAAACACTGGCGCAAGTTTTTTTTCATACAGCTATTTTCAATACTGTTAGTTAAGTAAGCTTAGGTTGTGATTCACTTCATAGTGCTCTATATTTTATAGGTGGAAGAGTACTGCTGCCAAACTCCCACATTAAAGTTCATATCAGTGGGTTACGAAAAGAAGTAAATTTTCGATTAGACAGAGAAGAGTAGATATGAATTCGACAAGAACCTAGGTAGAGTTTGGAGAGTCAAAACCGTATGCCTTGCTGCAAAACTCCAGCGCAAACCATGTTGGCGAAATTCCATCATAGGAGGTGAATATTTTGCACGGTAAAGTACTCCAAAGATCATTTCCATAGTGAAGTGTAGAGCAGCGGATGACCAGGAAATGATACAAAAAAAATATATAGCACAACTGTTGGTAGACTCTACTATCTACTCACCACATTTTCTTTATCACGCTGATGTTCTTTTATCGTATACGCCTGCTTCACTGTTTGAATTTCCAAATTTGACCTTGAGAAACGTTTGTATACATAGGTACAATCTACGGCACCTATCTAGGTATCTCAGACGGTACTTCCTAGTGCAATAGCCAAGCCAAAGACCGTATCAGTGAAAGCTCATTACGGCCATTAGAATGGCCGCATCATGAACAGTCTCGTACCTCCAAAGAATAAATCATTGGATACGAAGCTATTCTGCCCTCGTTGTATGAAGAGAAACCATTCTCTCCTCAAAATTCGATTCTAAACGAAAACGAATCCCCAATCAAAAGTTCTGAACAAAATCAGCCAATCACCAACTTGCACATTACCCCTGGGTCAAAACCTCACCCCTTCGGAACACAAAATCTCCAAGAATGAACGACGAAAGTTCACGGCCTGTTAAACCCCTTGACGAAATCCCATACCATCCTCACATAACATTCTGGGGCGGCATCCTAACGCTCTCCATAGACCTGCACCCCACACCCCTGCAAACCCCATCCCTCATGAGAAATCTCGCCAACATTCTCCTCGACTACGCGCCTTGGACTCACCACATCAAAATTTCTATTCTCCCTCCTCCTTATCAAAAGGACCCCGACCCATGCTCAACAACACCTTCTCATTCCCACATCTCCGATTTCAAAACCATCATCAATATTTTAAACAAGTTTGACAAAGTAAAAGAACTTCACCTGATCATTTTACTTAGACCCCAGGAATCGAAATGCGAGGATTTGTATTTTTTAGGTGGATTATTTGGATTGGAGAGAATTAAATGGAGTTTGGCGTTTGCGGTTGAAGGGAATGGGAAGTGGGAGATTGATGCTGGGTGTTGCTTTATGAGGGAGTTGTTGGAGGTTTATTCGAGACGGTTTTCGGGATCGGGAGGGTTGGAGATGATTGTTGAGTAAGAAGTAGTGAGTCATGAGGGATGACTACCAAATTTAAGTATTGGGGAGTAGAGAAGATGGGCATGATCTTTGCTCTGTTCTGGGGCATCTTTGTGTTATTTATATGAGATATTGTAAGGAAGGAGTAGGCTAGAAACCTCTCTTTCGGTGGATTCTTGGCCACAATCAATCAATACTATGTCTCAAATTTTACTATCCATTTGTGATTTTCACTTTCTTTTGCATATTTTCTGCTATTTCTTGCTGTGGCTACTCCAATCAGTTGATATATTTGCTCTATCCGCCCCCTCCTCGAGGTTATACACTTCACACGAAGGAGGCACAAAGAAAAGAAATGTCCACATCAATACATACCTATATATACCTACCTAATAAGACAGAGCTGGTTCCTATTTTTGTATCTTAGCCTTCTGACTCAATCCATTGTTACAACCAAGGGGTATAGTCCCAAGACATTTATGTCAGGTTTTAGTTTTCACTTGTAAGTACTTAGGTAAGAGCAATGAGGATTGATGTAGCCTTATATCATTATGTAAATATATTCAATGGGAGTTGATTCCTAGACTCCATGCTATGAAGGTACACCCATATTTCAATAGCCCAAAGCTATGAAATATCATCATACACAAATAAATATCCGCCAACTTCCCAGTGGCCCAAAATTTCCCTAAGAACCAACATCAAAGATCGAGAATCACATCTCCTAACAATACCACCCTAAAACATCATCTCCCCCCATCTCCCCCCGGGGCAATCCTCCACCCCCTCACAAAAACTCCTTTCTCCAAACTCCAAACAATCTTCTCATCGTATCATCTTCCTGCTCCACCCTAACCGGTTCCTCCCCCTTAACCACATACTGCAAGGTACGCTGAACCTCCTGTCTCAAACCAAACATCGCAGCCGCAAGCTTCATCTGCGGGAAACTGCAATAATCCACCAACATCCTAGTTCTCACTTGCTCCAACTTCTTAAACTTATTAACCTCTCCAACAATTGATTTCATATCCGCAATGTGCGAGGTATAGACGCTGGGGGGTTCCATGTGGGGAATTCCAGTATGGATGCTGAGTTGGAGAATCTTGACATAGGGTGCGTAGTCTGGGAGGATGGAGAGGAGGGTTTCCATGGATGTGAATTTTTCGATGGGGTTACCGGGACCGCAGTAGTCGATTGTGAGAGTGAGGATGTTGCCTGTGAGGACAATGTTGGGGTGGGCGGTGATTTCGGAAGGGTGTTTGGGGATGAATTCGCTGGGGGCGGCTTGGACAGCACGTCTGTTTTTGGATCCCATGATTACTGAGTGGATATGTTTGATTTGATATATGTATTGGTAAAGAAGTGTTGAGTGTATGTTTATTTGGCTGAAGTATAGAGCCCAAATCTGAATATTAAAGATCTTACAGAGAGTTCTCTATCGTTTGACTTTTTGAATGTGATCGTTATTGAAATTGAGATTGAGATTGTAATCTTGAAGTGAAGAAGATAAAGTAACGAGAATAGAAGAAGCAAATTAGAGCGGTGTTCCAGCTTTCTTATATACCAAACGAATGCCTTTCCAATACAACAACCCCGTAAGCGAGATGACCGTAACTAACGATGTCCTTCAAGTGTAGCCGTACAGTAGCCGTAAAGTATGTATTTACACATATGTATTCACTAAGAATGAGGCCCCCAACTGCGTAACATACCTACATACCGTAATTGATCCTCGCATAAATTGAAGTGCATGGACACTCAAATCGACACTTGTATGTGATGTTCAATGTTTGTGGGTCAAGACAATCTTCTAGGCTTTGCTCGCCATCATTGGCGGAGGGCCTCAGGATTTTGAATTTTTCTTCGAGTAGTCCTTCTGTACATCTATTAATGTCACAGGAGGAAGATAGTATTTACCTGACTCGAGGATCATTAGGAGATATTGAAGGTTGATAGCATGAGTTCGAAACTCAATCGGCGGGATCCATCCTACGAATCGTGGGTTTCTAACCAGATAAAATGCCTCTCAACTCAAGTTGCCCCTCAACTTTATAAAAACCATGATTGATACCAATTCCATAATCCATTCTATCCTCTTGAAAATGAACCATCTCATTATTAACTCCACAGCAACATATCATACAAAATTCCAAAATGTTCTGGGAAGTATTGAAAGCGTCTTGTTCGAGTGGACTTAATGATTGTTCTGTAAGTCCATATACCTCACCGTTCTATCTTGCTTTCATCTATTGCATACCTTGAACACAAAAGATCCCCTCTCCATCTAAAAAAGAATCATCCAAATCCAACAAAAAACACAGCCGCCCCCCTCCCCATTCCAGATATCCTTCACTTCCAACCACGAGGTCTACAATTATACAGACCTAATAAAAGCAACTCATCCCCTCTCATCCAATCCCTCCCTCTACCCTCTCCTAGCCTCAAAACATACACAACATACACCACAAACCTACAAACCCCAAGAAAATCATTTAACCCCTGGAACTCTTAATTCACCACCCCCACTCACACCCTTTGTGTTCCAACAAAATCCCCTTCAAAACATCAAGTATTTCATCACTCTATTTCCCATAGAACTCCCACTAAAGGACCCCTTCCATTCCCATTAAATTTTGCAGATTCCGATCTGTGTAGAAAAAAGCCGGGAGGCCCTCCGAACGCAGGTTTCACATTTCGCATTAAAAGATTTCATGTTTAAGATTTCCGAGGAAATCCAAGCCGGTAAAGAGTCATCGCCGGACCATGTTAACCTGAATTTTCATATCACAAAAATTTACATGATAAAAATTATAAAGACTCATTTAATCAAAAACTCATACTGAAGTTTTGAATCAAGTGTTGACGTTCCACTCCTCTACTCCACCCCACTCCGCTTCCGCTCACTCCCCCTAGCACCCAAAAAATCCCCACCAATTCCAGTTCCACTAGTGCTACTCAAATTTTTTGCAGATCCACACATGTGAAAAATTTCCCTCTTGTTCCCCAGCTTTGAGATTTGAAAACCATCCATTCAACAAAAAGTCGAAAACAAAAGTATATTAGAGAAATCAAATTTCTTCCAAAAATATAAAAAGTCATTGATGAGAGTGGGATTCGAACCCACGCCTATTACTAGACCAGGAGATTATGATAATCTTATGTTAAGCTATAAACCTTAACCTGGCGCCTTAGACCAACTCGGCCATCTCACCTGTTGCTGATTTGATGAAGATATCTCGACGGGAAGGCTATATGAAGGGAACAAGCAAGCATTGGAAGTACAGAGAGAGGACACTTAAAGGACTCCACTATACTGTGACTACTAGGTATGCAATTCAATGAAATGTCAAGCCCTAGAGGTATAGCTTTTCTTATCAGAGTGTGGACCTTGCCGTTGGTATTGTGATGGAGTTAAATTAATCCTCGAGGTAGTCGTTGAGATATATGAGGGCTCAGCTCAAGCATTTACATACATATATCTAAGGAGGTAATTATTCTGCGAGAGTTGTGCGGCTGTCGAATCATGAAGGCTTGCTGCTTGAATTGACCTCGATATATGTCACTCACATGCTGATCATTAATGGGGGACGTTCGGACATATGATACAACTGACCGAAAGCTTTTTAGGGTGGGGGAATAGTAGATATGTTTTACTGATATACACTTGTTACAATCAATTTATAGAGTCTTGTTACTGCTATAGAACGTCCCAACTATGAGGCCAAGCCGACAAAACAGCAAATTAAGGATGATCAAAAGCGAAACAATCACAATCATGACTACCAAGAATGCACCGGACTTCATTTCATCACCAAAAGTCCTCTTCAAACTTCTGAAAAGATGGTATCATTGATCTGGGAGACAATTTTCTGGGGAAGTCGATGCTTTGGGGACGACGTACATAACCAAGAATACCCAAGCAATAGATATTTCAATTCTTAGTCCAATTCGACCCTACCTGCTACCAATTTACTCCAATCATCATCTACTCCACGCTCGATATTAGGGATAGGACCCATCGGTGTGATGGCCTTTGGATTGATGTCCGCATGGCTCTTCGTGTACTAATTATTGTCAACCTCTGGGCATCAAAAATGTACGAGATCCTCACATTTTCCTTAATGTGTTTGAAATTCGTGGATTCCTTAAATCCCTTAACTTCCCAATACAAATGTTTCAGCCAAGCATTTAGTACTGGATAATCATGACGAATCGTTCCAAGGTTACACTTGAAATGTTGCACATACGCGGCATCGAAGCGACAAATTGTTGGATACAACCTCAAATCCAATTCTGTCATCTCTGAACCCAAAACATATGGACCTCCATTATTTTTGATAATTTCCTCCATTCGATTCAAGGCTTTGAATAATGGCACAACATTTTTGTCATAAGTTTCTTGGTTTGGCGCAAATCCAGCCTTATATACTCCGGTATTGATTTCGTTTTGCATCCATTCTCCCATTTCATCGATTTCGACGGCCAAATTCTCAGGATAGAAATCTAAAATTTTATATTCATCATCCAATATGCTGTCGAATCCAGTATTCAGATTCCGCAGTATCTCTAAGCTTTCGTTGCAAACGATTTGATTTGTCTTCTTATCCCACAGAACGGGAACGGAGAATCTCCCCTTGTAATCTCTTTGGGACCGGAAGTATACCTGGTGGAGATATTTGGAACGAAAGAGATGATCTCCAGTTGCGCCAGGATACGGATCGGTTTCCGTTGCGAATTTCCAGCCGGGCCATCCTTTGTCGTCACCCTTTGGATAAGGTTTGACGATGGATATAGGGAGGATGGAGGTGAGACCTTTGAGATGTCGAATGAGGTTTACTCGATGGGCAAATGGACAGAAAAGTCCTATTTAAGAACCTGTCAGATAAATCCGCAGATGAAGAGGGGATGAGGAATGATTTACCAATGTATAAATGGTATCGATCCGTTTCGGGAGGGAACTCCCCTCCTACTTCAATTCGGCCATGCCAATTACCATCTTTTGGCACCGATTGCTGTCTTGCAGTGGAAGCCATTTTGCAATCAATGAAATACTGTTTGTTAATGAGATATCAAATGTTTCGCAGAATTGCTACTATTATTTCAAATGTGCATTCAAATAGGGTTGATTTGCCGTCCTTTCGCATATGATAACTTGTTGGAGAACATATCACCACCGCGGGGTTTCGAGGGGCATGAATGCATCCATACCTTTCTTAGCTCCTTATCCCCAAAGGACTAGACGATTGAAGAATGATTTGTATACCATAGGTATCCAATGATGTAGGTGTTATTTCCTCTGCCACAATAGATAGCAGATATGAGATTGTCCAATGTCCAATGTCCAATGTCCAAGGTCGATATCAATCACTGATACAATGATAATCGTCTAGCACTCGCAAGATACTGCACTCCGATTGGTTCGTCCTCAAAATTTATGGGGCAGATTGGATAGTAAGCAATCCACCGGAAAGTCGGGAAGTCGGGAGACAGTTACAACTAATTAAGTCCGTGGAAAGGTCGAAGGGTTTATTTATACCTATCTATTTTCAACCAAACACATCGTACAAGTAATCAATACTACTAGGTAATCATTAAAGTAAATTCATATCCCACTTCGCATGATACTCATCAAATCATCATTCATACCGCCGTCTCCTTTTAATTCGCAAATCTCACCTGCGGCAACTTTTGGTCATCAACACGGGTGCCTAACTTCACACCGCCACCATATAAAATCACACCCAAGGCCTCAAATCTCCAAACATCTGCAAATATCATCTGCAAACACTCCCTGATGAAGATTGAATTCTATCATCAAATCTAGGTGGACCGACGGATGGTTTCTTATATTAATGAGCTGTCTAATGCGGCTCCTATACTCATTGGACTATTCACAATCCCAACTGCATGGCGATTCGTTAGGAACTTCAAATCACCAAGAGTGACCAATCATGAAGTTCTCTATGAAGACAAAGATGGGGTGGCTACGAAAGAATCCATGGCAAAGTATTCCACTAAACGTCAATTCGTGATCATCTTCACTTCTCTCATTGTGGGACTTTTGGCTTCGTTTGGATTGGCTGCTTTTACTACAGTCGTGAAGAATGAATTTTCGCATTGGGCTTTGACGCATATTTGGCTATTGTTCGTATCTTGGGTAAGCTTAAACTGTTGTAGGATCACGTGTCAGCTCTTTACTAATAGATGTTAGATTTTGGCATTCGTTCAGGTATTGGAAACATCAAGAGAAGCTCATCCTGTATTAAAATTCCAGAAAGGAATATTTAATTCTGTATCATGTGCTTTGCTAGCTGTTCTCACATGTCTCGTGCTATCGGCCCATCCTCCAACTCCTGGCCGTGTCCGCCTCGCATGGTTCATTCTCACAGCCCTACAAGTCATTGCTGCTGTACTCAGTACTGTGACATTCTTTTTCATCGAGCGCCGTCCTGATGTTTTTACCCCTGATGGAAAGGTCGTGGAAAGACAATTCAAGAAATCGTTATGGAATAGATATGCTTTCGATTGGAGTTCCGAGCTCCTTGATATCGCATCGGAAAAATTGATTGAAATATCAGATCTCCCTGCTATGGATGGACATGTTCGTTCGAAAGATGTCAGAGAATACTTCAAATCCATAATATTGAAGCCAACAGTTCCATTGTGGCTCCAAATTTTCTGGGCATATCGTAAACCCATACTTACTCAATGGGGGCTGGTCATGATCTCATCTGTTATTGATGCCGCGCCACAGTTTGCTGTTTTGAAATTACTGCAATATCTCGAAGCTCGTCAAGGGTTTGATGTAATTGATCCTCAAGCATGGATCTGGGTGTTTGGTCTTTTCGCCGCTACAATTGCTGAAACATTAATGGACAACCGAATCAATTGGTTGATGTGGTCCGATCTTGCAATTCCCATTAGATCCACGCTCACATCCCTTATCTTTGAGAAGATGATGAAGATGAAAGACTGCAAGGAACCTCCAAAGCCGGAGGAGAACGATGAAGCAAAGGATAAAGGGAAAGCTTCACCCAAAATTGATGACGCCTCAAAAGCCAACGGAAATGCTAAATCTAACGACACTCCAAAGCCGGATGCATCAAATGGCCACGGGCCTCATGCGCCAGCAGCGAAGAAAGGAAAAGACGCGGGCACGAAGAAAAAGCTCGAAACCGATAAAGATATCGTCAATATGTTTGCAGTGGACGCAAATCAAGTTGGTAACTTTGGCGCTGTCAATCAATTCTACATCTTGTTCTTCTGCAAATTCGTTGTTTCGGTTGTTTTCCTGTGGCTCTTGGTTGGTTGGGAGTCGATGGCTGCTGGGTAAGTTCTGCTTCCTCTTACATATAGCCCTATTCCTCGTTATCATGCTCCCCTTTCTTAACCTCCTTTCGTAAATTAAGATTCTTGGCCCCCCACAAGTTGCTTTCCTCCGACTTCTATTTCTGATGGACAATTGCTGATTTTTTTCACCTCCAACAGTATGCTAGCAATCATAGGTATGGCACCAATTAATCAAGCTCTTGCAAAGAGATATGGAGGCTTTCAAAGAGAATTGATGAAGGCTCGAGATAAGAAGACTACTATAGTCACTGAGGCACTCAATGGTATTCGACAGATTAAATTTTCAGCCAATGAAACTCAATGGGGCGAGAAGATATTCGAAGCACGTGAAGAAGAAATTGTTAAACTCTGGAAAACCAAGATCAATAATTTATATATGATGGTTGGGTCAAATGTAGCTCCCGTACTTCTAACAGTCTTGGCTCTTGCTACATACTCTTATATCCACGGAGATTTACTCCCATCAGTTGCCTTTACAGCATTGGTATGTTATATATTTTCTTTTTCTGCAGTTCGCATCCCTCGAATCCTTCACATACCCAGGGGCATGGCATATTTGTTGTTACCTTGTCGTATTATTGATTGCATCGTACAACCATGTATAATAGCTTGGCTAAATTAAGGATCAGGGTGTATTCATGCAACTTGAAGGTGTCCTAGGAATGGTCCCCTTTCTCTTCATGATGGGAGCAAACGCCAAAGTCAGTTGCGACCGAATCGAATCCTTTCTCCAATCTCCAGAGAAGCCAGAGAACACCTACCCAGGAGATTCCATTACTTTCGAGAATGTCTCAGTTAGCTTTCCATCGAAATCCAAGATTTCAGAAGAAGAAGACCGATTTGTACTTAGAGACCTCAATCTTCAGTTCCCCAATAATGCTTTGAGTGTTATTTCGGGACCAACAGGTTCTGGAAAATCTCTTCTTCTCTCCGCTATATTGGGCGAGGTTGAGGTTCTGTCTGGTAATATTACTGTACCCCGACCACCTCAGGCATCTGAGCGACACGATAGCAAAGCCACAGCCGCAGATTGGGTATTACCTTCCGCTATAGCATTTGTTTCTCAAACTCCATGGATAGAGAATGCTAGCATCAAAGACAATATTCTTTTCGGCCTGCCTTTCGACCCTATACGATATCAGAAAGTACTCGATGCATGCGCTCTCACGAAAGATCTCCACATGTTTGATGATGGTGACTTGACTGAAGTTGGTGCTCAAGGTATAAGCTTGAGTGGTGGTCAAAAGTGGCGTTTGACTCTAGCAAGAGCTTTCTACTCTCGTGCCGGAATATTGATACTCGATGATGTTTTCTCGGCACTCGACGCACATGTTGGGAAAGAAATCTACGACAATGCTCTCATGGGCGAGTTATCGATTGGTAGGACAAGAATTTTAGTAACACATCACGTCTCACTTTGTCTTCCACGGGCAAGTTATGCCGTTCAATTATCGAAGAATGGAGGCCTCGAGCATGCAGGTTCAATTGATGAGCTCAGAAAGACGGGTAACTTCGATGACATTATCAAAGCGGAACAAGATGTGCAGGCGACCGTTGAGGAGGTGGACTCCTCCGAGGCAAATGGCGACAAGCCATCCGATAAACCAGCCACCAAACCTAAGAAGCTAATTGAAGATGAGAAACGGGAAACAGGAAGCGTGAAGGCAAGCGTGTATACAAAGTATCTCATGGCCACTGGAGGTATACCATTCTGGGGATTGGTTCTCATTTTCTATTTGGTCGCCGAAGCTTTAGTGATTGGAAGATCTTGGTGGATCAAGATATGGACATCTTCCTACGACCATTCGGAGATGAACTTGTCCAGTTTCAATTCTACTCATCTGCCTTATATCACCAGCATGCAACAACAGCTTTCACCATCAGTGTTTGTCTCAAAAATCAACAATCCGTTCTCAAAAGACCACACACTGGGCTACTATCTGATGGGCTATGTCCTCATCTCGACTGTTTCCGTTTTCGTTGCCACTGCTAGATATTACTTCATTTATCGGGGATCTCTATCTGCCTCAAGAAACGTTTTTAAAGAGATGACAAATATCGTTCTTCGTACTCCCTTAAGATGGTTGGATACTGTTCCTACAGGACGAATTTTGAATCGTTTCACTGCGGATTTCTCTGCCATGGATTCGCAACTCTCTACAAATTTCGCTCAAACCGCCTCTGCATTCTTGGAGATTGTGGGAATTATGGTATCTGCGTAAGTTGTTTATTCACGGATCAATGATAGTCCCGCTAATATTTCTTTAGGTTTTTTGTCTCGCCATACATAATCATCATCGCATTGGTTCTATTGGGTATTTGCACTTATATTGCACTCCTTTATATCAAAGGTGCACGCTCTCTCAAACGTCTCGAATCAATCCAAAAGTCACCTATGATTTCACACTTTGGGTCAGCCCTTGCGGGTCTCAGCACCATCCGTGCATTTTCAAACGCACCCGTCTTCGAAGCCAGGATGCATGAGTTGGTAGATTCGTTTTCTGCCGCTACTTGGCATAATTGGCTCTTCAATCGATGGTTCGGACTACGTATGGCATTGGTGGGATCATTTTTCTCATCGTCCGTGGCCGCATTTATTGTCTCCACTCATGGTGTTGATGCTTCATTAGCTGGATTTGCTCTTTCATTTGCATTGAGTTATAGACGAGCTGTTATTCATACCATTAGATTGCTTGCTTCAGCAGAGTTGGATATGAACGCTGCTGAGCGTATATTCGAATACACACAATTAGATATGGAACCTCAGGGCGGAACAGATAACATTCGCGCTTCGTGGCCAGAAGAAGGTAAATTAGAAGTAACGGATTTAGAGGTTGGGTATGCCGAAGGATTACCTGCAATTTTGAAAGGATTGTCTTTCTCTGTGGATAAAAACCAACGAGTTGGAATTGTTGGAAGGACAGGTGCTGGTAAGTAAATTTCTCAGGACATAACATGCAGAATACTGATTGTGTCTTAGGTAAATCAACACTATCCCTAGCTCTCTTCCGTTTCCTGGAGGCTAGAGCTGGTACCATTATGATCGACGGAATCGACATCTCCACCCTCAAACTACACGATCTTAGAACTAGACTCTCAATTATTCCCCAAGATCCTGTTCTCTTCTCCGGTACTATCCGCTCCAACCTCGATCCCTTCGATGAATTCTCCGACCAACAGCTAAAGGAAGCACTCCAACGTGTCCACCTCATCCCCTCCGCTAACAGCAGCCCCGCCCCCGAACTCGAAACCCCTGCCGAATCTTCCACCGCCGCATCAAGCAGTTCTATAACCGCCACCATCACTGAACCCCTCAACAAAGAAAATACAAATGTGTTTCTCAACCTCACATCTCCCATCTCCTCCGCAGGTGCCAACTTGTCTCAAGGCCAGAAGCAACTTCTTTGCCTAGCTCGCGCTATTCTCTCTAGACCAAAGGTCCTCCTTTTAGATGAAGCAACTTCTGCCGTTGACATGTCGACTGATACGCTTATCCAACGTAGTATCCGTGAAGAATTTGCAAATACGACACTATTGGTTGTAGCACATAGATTGAGCACGGTGGCTGATTTCGATCGTATATTAGTTATGCGAGATAGAGCTGCAGCGGAGTATGGTAGTCCAAGGGAGCTGCTAGAGATTGAAGACGGAGTTTTCAAAGGAATGGTAGAGCAGAGTGGGGAGAGCAAGGAGTTGGAGAGATCGATTAGAGGGGGGATGTAATTCTTTCGAGTGATAGAAATGGGGGGAGGAAGGAGAAAAGCATCGTTCCGAGGGGTGGAAAATGGATAAATGGGGAGTAGACTTTTCGACACTGTTGTTTTTATTAGATAGATAGACTTTATTGATTTCATAAATATGCATGTATGATTTGGGTTTCTTGTTTTCGTGTTTTCTGACCTGTGATAGAATATCTCCTCGTTTGTAGGATAACAAATAGAGCCCTCTTTTAGTGGAAATTGGTTGAAAATATTGATTATGTTGTATTGCTATTACTGTTACTATTGCTTTTGCTTTTGCACATCTTACACCAATCTTTTTTCCCCCACGACAGTAAGAAGAAGAACAAAAATCAGAAGATGTCTGATACGTGATAAGAAGCGGTGAATTGTATAAACACTCGGTAAGAACAGTTATAAATACTAGACACCAAACACACTTTATTCTGGCAATTACCAAAACATTTCAACTTGAATACATCTGCTCGGATAATCTCTACAGAATCTGAATTTGTGGAGAGAAGAGGGAGAGAAGGGAGAAGATTAATATGAGCCGAAGTGAATGATACAAAGGCTCTTTGGTATGGAAGGGGATGGAGATTGTTTGTGGATGGAATGGGGAGGGGTGGTGGATGTGTTATTGGATGGTTGAGAGAAGAGCGGGGAAGAATATTACAATTTCACTATCGATCTTGTTTTTTTTTGGCTGTTGTTTTTTGATGCTGCGAGAGGAGAGACTAGTCTTATGTGCATCTGACTGTGGGGAAAGGGGGAAACGGGGATCTATGGGGTTTCCTGTGTATTTCGGGTATATAGAGGGTTGGGATGTCGAATTCTCTTAAATCGGGAGGGTTTGTTTTGGTCTACTTTTGGATTGTGTACCCAATGAGAATGAGCGCGAGTTTGCGTGGGGGTTTGAGTTGTAAGTTATGAGAGGAAGGTTTGGAGTTGAGGTTTGTTAATTAGGTGGGAGAATTTTCTTGGTGTGGGTTTGTTTCTTGTCTTAGGTTGGATGAGATTGAGGGGCAGTGGAAATGAGAAGATAGCTGAGATGAGAAGGATAGGATGGAGAGAGGGAGATATGATGAGGATAGACACCTAGGTAGAGAGTAGCGGCTCTGGAGGAAAAAATATTGAGAGACTGCGTGGAAAGAGAGGATATGAGGAGGGTATTTGGTGGACATTTTGATCTTGTGGGATGTCTGAATTTGTGTTTTTTGCTATGCTTTTGCTGGAGTGTTGGTTTGTGGGGGTTTTCGGGTATATTGTTCTGTTGAGAGAATGAATAGTGAATACTCAAGTGAGAATTGGGAAAATTCAAATTTGATATTACGCATGATCAGCTTTTGAGAAACTACAAAAGCGGTAAAATAACCATTTGCTTGCTCCGTTATCATTGAGCACTTCCATCTAGTTGCAAAAATAGCACTCCACCAATCCATCGTTCAATCTTTTTTCCATTTTGTTCCTAATTTATTGAAAAAGAACAGAAGCTCCGTTAGTATGACCCCAATCTAATTTATGACCTTGTCTGTCATAGACTGCGATCGCTACATTCCCTTGTGTTTCATATGCCCATTCGAAACCGTTTGTAAACCAAGACTGGGGAAGCTCATCTTGCCAGACAAGTACCTGATTTACCTCTGACCAGCGCCCATCTAGTTTAACCCCAAATTGGGGAAAGAAGACTTGAACTTTCATCATGTCTGCACGCTCATATCCAAAGGGCATCTGCGCACCATGAGGTATAATGTGATTTGTGAATATCATAACCTCTTCGATTCCCTCACGCTCTGCCTCGATGATCTGCCTTGCGAAGTCCTTTACCTAAGATAAGATAGCTCCATGTAAGATTTCGAATGTGCTTGAACGTACAGCTTCGATTCTAACTTTAGTAACAGCATCTGCTTCCCAGCTCTTGACCAATTTAAGTGGTGGCTGTCGACTCTCCTATCAATTTTACTAGTATAGGAGTAAAACCTGTATGAATGACAATGTTAATGATTGGTAATGATGCAAGTAGGTAGGCTCTCCAATGACTTACCTCGACCGCTAGTATCTGAAACACTTTCCTTCGAATTTGACATCTTTGTCAGTGGCCTATTCGATCTCGGACGCTACAGATCCAGTAATTATTAGCCCGAGGTTCTTGCTTGTATGAGAACTCATAATCAATCCTCTTATCTGATACGATCGTAAGAAAATATTCGATAAATCGTATTGTTGTTGTCGATCCATCCAAATAGACAAGAGGATAATTGACAACAACAGATTGAACTTGAGACGACCACCTTGTATTATCCCACGAAAAGAGGAAGAAGAAGAAGAAGGGAAAAAACACAAATTCTAAATGTACCTAATTATGCATAGATGGAGCAACTGTATACGGGGTAAAGGTGATGCGAAGAGAAAAATCTCGAAATAGGTTGTGAGAAATAAATAAGAGGGTTGGAGAAATTTCTCGAAGCGAGAGATTGAGGATTTGTTAATTGGCTACTAGGGAATTCGGATGTGAAGTGAATGATGGCAATAGAAGTGAAGCGTGAATAGACGAGAGTGTTGGGAGTGAAGTATGAAGTAGCGAGAATCGAAGAATGAGAAATGAGAAATCGTCCAACGGAGACGAGAACGACGAGAACGAGAACTGTGTAGTTATTCGTATGCACTGGTCAATAAACACAAATTCATTTCACCAGACATGATAACAAAATGAAACCAATTTGAATGAGGGTATCTTCCACTCCTTTTTATCCATTCCATTACCGCGTATACGAACATCAAACACGACCCTCAATTTTTAGTAATTAAACGCCCAATCCCGGAGAAATCATTCATCATACATCATCAACTCGTTACTTCAAAACATTAAACCGCCATATCCCCGTTATTTTGCGGTGTGATAGGAACAATAGTTCTACTACTTCCCCTCCCCTTCCTATCCCCATACCCATAATCGAATCCCTGATCTGTTTCCAACTCCTTACTCATAGCAATCTCCTTGGTGAAGATCAAGCTAGTAACAAAAGCCAGTCCAGCCAATGCACACATAACAGCCCATACCATTTTTAAGCTCTCGACATAAGCTCCAATGACTACTTGTTTCATTTCTCCCTCTGCGCCTGTGTTTGACCATGCTTTTACGATCTGTACAAATGCAGATGCGTCTTTTGACCATTCGTTTGCATAGACGGCATAGGATGTTTTAAGGATCTTGTTTTGAAATGTGTTTTGAAAGATGACACCAGAAATTGCGACGCCGATTGTTTGGCCAAAGGCTCGAAAAAACGAATACATAGCTCCGGCAAAGGGAAGGTCGGCGTTGGTAACTGAGGCTTGGGCTGCGAAACCTTGAGCGGAAAATAGAGTGCCCAATCCAATACCTGGAACGAGGTTGCAGAAGATCCAGGATACTGTTGAAGTGGATGCTTTGAGAAGGATGAGAAGACCGAGTCCTAAGGTGGAGATAGCCCATCCTACCCAGATTGAAGGGCGGTAGCGACCGGTTTTGGCAATGATGAGACCGACTACCACAGCAGCCGGAGCGGTAGTGAAGGTCATTGGGAAAAGACCGATGCCAGATTGGATGGGAGTATAGTTCTTAGCGACCTCAAAGTATAGAGGCATGTAAAAGAGAATGGACCATAGGCAAATTCCATGAATGAACGTGCCGAAGTAAGCGACTATTGCTGTGGGGGAGTTGAACAATGATCGTCGAATCAATGGGTCTCCTTTTCGGAAGATGGAGTAAATGAGAAAGGCGATAAGACCACCAACACCGAATAGTAGTGGTACGAGTGTGCGGACAGAGCTCCAAGCATACATGACACCTCCCTGGATGAATGTTAGTATTTTGAAGATGGAAATGACACCAAGTAACTTACCCAGGTAAGAGGAATCAACAAACTAGTGACAGAAGCCACAAACAAGAATGATCCAAGCCAATCAAAGGCTTTAAGCTTAGTCCACATAGAACCTTGCTTAATGTTCAGCTTCAAACATATCGGAATACCAATAGCACTGACAACGCAAAAGGGAATGTTCAGCCAAAAGATCCATCTCCATGTAACCTTCTCTACAAAAGCACCACCAATGACTGGGGCGATAACGGAACCAATGGCCCATTGAAGAGATATTATCGATACCCATTTACCACGCTCACGAAGGGTGACCATATCAGCAAGAATGACATAAGTCAAGCTTACAAGGCCGCCTCCTCCAATACCTTGAATACATCTTCCTACCAAGAGAAGCTCAATGTTCTTGGCGACGGAACAGAGGATTGTGCCAACCGAGAAGAGGAATAGAGCGGTCAAAAGTACTGATTTTCGACCAATTATGTGCGAGAAAGCTGCCCAAGTAGGTTGAAAGACTGTAGAGCATAGAAGGAATGATGTACCACACCAGAAAGCTTGCATCGCAGTGGCGTGTAGACTTGTTGCAATGGTCTTTATTAACCAGTATTAGTCTTGCATCATTAATACATGATAAAGAAGTGAAAGTATAAACCATCTTACAGGTAAAGCCACAGAAAGAATTGTGGCATCAATAGCACAAACGAGGTTGAGAATTGCCAAACAAGCAAAACTTCCATAGAACCTCCATCCCCTTTTCTTCGATTCGGACTCAGTTTGCATATCGGATTTTTTGAAGTCCATACTTCCAGAGACGGGAGAGGAAATTTCTGTCGAGGGACTTGAAGTAGTTGTTGATTCTTCATTCTCAATAAGTGATCGTTCTGGTGAGGATGTCCGGCCATACTGTGAAGTATATTCTTCTGGAGCCGAAATACTAGGGGGTAGATGGGCCTCGGAATTTCTACTTCCAGGCAATGATGTGTACATGTTGGCTGCGGTTGGATACCAAAAGGTACAAGATCTGTGGATTTCGAGAGGCTCCGGATTTTGATACAGTAAAGAAGATTGTGAAATGCGAAAGGAGTGAGGCAAGAACGGATATAGACAAATTATCAAACATCTAGATATCCACACTGACTCATGAAGTATT